AAGCTTTTGCTGTCCAGAAAGAACATCAAAGACTAAAGTTTGCTTACGAGTGGCTAGATAAAGACCAGGAGCCTCTGGAACAATTTGGCCTACAGATTCAAGAATTATTTGGCCCTTTGGACCTCTTGGGGAGATCCAAAGACATAATTTTATCAGAACGCCACCATAAAGCAGGGGTCTCCAACCTTGGCAGCTTTACAACTTGTGGACTTCAACTCCCAGAACTTCTCAGCCAGTTTATGCTCAAGACCTTCAGACCTGGAGGTCTTATGCTGGCTGACGAATTCTGGGAGTTGAAGTCCACAAGTTGTAAAGCTGCCAAGGTTGGAGATCCCTGCTATAAAGCATGGTGATGGTGAAAATGATATGGTTTGTGGCTGCTTTGATGCATCGTGGGCCAGGTGGCCTACATCCAAAAGGATTTTAGATTTCTTTTAGCACAGTTGAGTAAAGCCGGCTGTTAAAAAATGCGAATCCACTTTTTATCTTTCCAAATTATCAGCAGCTTACTCGGATTTTTAGAGACGGGGATGCTTAGCTGGATGATGGATAAGCAACTTCATCCATTCCCAGATAGCACAGATCATATGCTGTATGTACATCCTGGTCCTGATTTTAAAAACTTAAAACTACAGAGCCTGTAGTACAGTGGACTAAAGCACTGTTATTAACATCTGCTGCTTGCAATTACTGCAAGTTCGAATCTCACCAGGCTCAAGGTTGACTCAGCCTTCCATCCTTTCAAAGGTAGGTAAAATGAGGACCCAGATTGTGGGGGCAATAAGCTGACTTTGTATAAATATACAAAAGTAGGAAGGCTATTGCTTAACGCATTGTAAGCCGCCCTGAGTCTCTGGAGAAGGGCGGCATATAAATTAAAGCAAAAAAAAAAAAAAAACCTGCTTTACAGATGGTAATACAGAAACAGCACTAGTACTGATGTTACCTAGTTTAGGTAACGAAACAAATGCAAGAAAACAACCAACTCGGAGAGCACCAAAGACCTATCAGCTACCTTATTTTCATTTGTTCAGCTGACGTTAGGAAGGCAATATTGAAGGGAAAAAGTAGAGCTACTTAAATCAAATAAATACTATCTCAAGGGTTTAAAACCACTGTAAAAATAGATAACGCCCAGCCAATTTTATTATTATTATTATTATTATTTATATTATTATTATTTATATTATTATTATTTATATTATATTATATATTATATTTTGTATTAAAACAAGGACAGATACAGATATCACATTCTTACATAACTTATGAATTCTAATGTCCTTTAGCCCATTTACAAACATCCCTAATTTTCTAAGGTGTGATTGTCCATCAAGCTATATAAAATAGGTTTTGTAAGCAAATGTACATCAGTAGTCCTTGACTTACGACCACATTTTTTTTGTTGCTAAGTGAGACATTTGTTAAGTGAATTTTGCCCAATTATACAATCTTTCTTCACACAGTTAAGTGAATGGCCACAGTTGTTAAATCAGTACACGGCTGTTAAGTGAATCTGGCTTCTCCAATGACTTTGCTTGTCAGGGGGGCCGCCAAAAGGGATCACATAACTCTGGGATGTAGCAATAATCATAAATATGAACCCATTGCCGAGCATCTGGATTTCGATCACATGACCACAGAGGTGCTGCAATGGTCGTGTGAACAACGTCCATAAGTCAGATTTTTCAGTGTCATTACAACTTCGGTCACTAAACAAACTGCTGAGGACAACCAGTACATTCCGCGCTTGAAAAATTAACATGGAAGAAAGCTGAAGATATTTAGATTAAACATGATATGACACACCTTTGTTGGAATTAAGCTGTTATATAAATAAATTTAGAACTGGGTCAACTGGATCTTTTTATACAATAAAGTTGAAAAACAATACTTTCAAGCTGTTCAATGCTAGTTCCTGAAATTATTTTACCAAATCAGACTGTTAGAAGAATCACATACATTCCAAAGTAATAACAAGTCTTCAGTTATCTTGGTTTTAAGGTACAACATTAAACAGTGTCTCAAGAGATCAATGTTTGTATTTCAGGAAAATATATTCCATCAGAAGGAAAGACAGGAATATGTGGCCATCTATTTCGAAGTGGTTGGCATTTAACTGATGTTGAGGAAAAGCAGAATTATTATGACTATGACAGGGATGGAACAAGAATTTCTTAGTTATAAACTAAATTAGTATTGAATATTGAGTAGTATCTGGTTGAAAATACTTCACATTTTGTGAAAATAGTACTGAATAGTAGAAAATAGGATTAAGACTATACATACCACTCTGAATAAATTGGATACAAATATAATGCATTATAATGCTCACTTTTTCATTATTATCAGTTGTGCCAATTGATATAGTATGTTCTTAGTCCATTGAGATATACAGATCTGAGTGAAGAGTTAAAGGGCTTTTGGGAAGAATATCATGCTAACTGATAATACACAGCATCAACAGGACATATTTTTAAATGAAAAAACTGTTTTTTAATGTGGGCCCCTTCATCAATTTTTACAATTCATTATGTACTTATTGAGAGGAATCCTTTTTTAAAATAAAAATAAAAAAATAAAAACATCCTCTCAATGAATTCTCATCCGAAGAGCAGTGTTACTGGTGAACATTTAAAATATGAAATAACATTTTAATCAATGGTTATATAGGTTATAATTACATGTAATTCTTTCCATCTTTCCATATCATAGGGAAATATATGTGCTCCATCTTAAATATATTTGGTTTCAATAATTTTTCCAATAGTTTCTCCAGTCTAGTATAGCTTCCCACAGTCCATGTATTTTAACACACCATCCCATGCACTGCATTAAAGTAGGTTGTTGACTTGTTTTCGGCTTAGCATTTAGTACACCAGAGGCCAACAAACAGACCATATCTTAAGGCTTACTCACTACAATTAAATAGACTACACCAACACACAGGTCTTTGTAATTTCTTTCCTTCCTTGGTGCTAATTCATATTTCTGGCTTGCTCAAGCTCTTAACCAACCTGTAAAAGGTCCAAGGTTAGTTAAAAGAACTAGGGACTGGCCAAAAAAAAAAGCCACCATCACTTGCTTACCTGAATTCTGGCTTATTCCACAAACTCTGGGTTTTCTAATCTGCCAAAGTATGAAGTGTATTATGAAGCCTTGCCTATCTTACATACTCCGATGTTTTGCTCTTTCTGCATTCACACATATATACACATGGATTGGATTACAGAAAACTTTGCCCATTATACCAACATCAGGGAAATTTCCCCAAAGACCCCAGATTCTGCTGCCAGGAAAAACGCCTCAGCAACAAGGACACACAACACTACTTTTAACTTAAATCCCACTGGAAAAACTTTCCTCTGACTCGGTCAGATTCCCTGGTCAACTGGACGGAGTAGCAGACCTGTAAGGACGTATCCCAACCTAGATGAAAGACTGCTGGGCCTATAAATGGAAAAGAGAACGGCTGGCTTCTTTATTAGATTTTGTCCTGCGTTATATGTAACTCAAGGTGGCAAACCTGAGGCTCCTTCCTCCTCCTATTTTCCCCGAAACAACCACCTGTGAGGTGGGTCGGGCTGAGAAAGAGGGACCGGCCTAACCAAAGTCACCCAGCTGCTTTTCATGGCTAAGGCAGAACTAAAACTCACTGTCTCCTGGTGACTGATCCAAAGTCACCCAGCCGGCTTTTATGCCATATATAAGATTAGAACTCCCAGTCTCCTGGTGACTGGCCCAAAGGCACCCAGCTACCCTTCTTGCCTAAGGCAGGCCTAAAACTCACCATCTCCTGAGGATTGGCCCCAAGTCACACAGCCAGCTTTTATACCATACACAGGTCTAGAACTCCCAGTCTCCTGGTTACTGGCCCAAAGGCACCCAGCTACCTTTCTTGGGCGTAAAAACTCACCATCTTCTGACGATTGGCCCCAAAGGCACCCAGCTGGCTTTTGTGGCTTATGGAGAAACTAGAACTCCCATCACCCAGTACCTAGCTGCCGGACTAGAACTCCCAGTCTCCTAGTGACTGGCCCAAAGGCACCCAACTACCTTTCTTGCCTAAGCCAGAGCTAAAATTCACCGTCTCCTGCGGACTGACCCCAAGTCATCTGGCCAGCTTTTATGCCATACACTGGACTAGAACTCCCAGTCTCCTGGTGACTGGCTCAAAGGCACCCAGCTACCTTTCTCAGGCCTAAAACTCACCATCTCCCGAGGACTGGCCCCAAAGGCACCCAGCCAGCCTTTTTGCGGCTTATGGAGGAACTAGAACTCCAATCACCCAGTAGCTCCTAGACTGGACTCCCAGTCTCCTGGTGACTGGCTCAAAGGTACCCAGCTACCTTTCTCGGGCCTAAAACTCACCATCTCCCGAGGACTGGCCCCAAAGGCACCCAGACGGCTTTTTTTGCAGCTTATGAACGAACTAGAACTCCCATCACCCAGTAGCTGCTGGACTGGGCCTCCCAGTCTCCTGTGACTGTCTCAAAGGCACCCAGCTACCTTTCTCGGGCCTAAAACTCACCATCTCCCAAGGACTGACCCCATGGACACCCAACCAGCCTTTTTGTGGCTTATGGAGGAACTAGAACTCCCATCACCCAGTACCTTCTTTTTCTTCCAACAGCAAATGATACCCCCACCCCCCCCACCTCTTAACATGCACTTCCCTGAGGTGGGGAGAGATCAGCCCCTTGAAAGAAAAAGGATTTAAACCTCCCCTCACAGGATTGGCGATGGAGGGGGGGGAACAGGCCTGCCCCCCACTTCCCCTCAGGCGTTGCTTCTCCCCCCGCCCCTCCCCCCTCAGAGGACGCCCCCTCGGGACAGCCCCCCCCCCGGTATCCCCTGGAGAAGGAGAAGCGGCAGCAGGCCTCCTCAGCCCCGGGCAAGCCAGGAGCCCCTCACCGGGATGAGTCCCTCACCGCCCTCAGGCGAGCGCTGAGGGTAGAAAAAAAAAGGGGGGGAAACGGGGGGGGCGGCTAAAGGCTGACCTCCTCGCTCTTCAGCACTTCTTTGAACTCCCGCTTGATCCGCTGCACCGCGATATTGGCCATCTCGGCAGCGGGACCCGCCGAAACCCAGGTCGCTCCCGCCGCCGCCGCCGCTGAGCCGGGCCGAGCTCCGCCGCCAACCGTCACCACCGCCGCCACCGCGGGAGAAGCTCCGGCGGCCCGTCCAAAATGGCGCCCGCGCCGAGCATGCGCGTTACGCCTCCCGGAGCCGGCCTCTTCCTCTCCGTCATAGTGGAGGGGGCGCGCGGCGGGGCGCGGCGCGGCGTGACGCGACGCAAACGCGACGCAGCGCCGGCGGAGTTGTTATGTTTGTGGGGGGAAAGGGCGTGGCCTCCGAAGTGTCGTCACTCTCCCCGCGACGGCGTCGCCTTGGGAACGAGGCGCGAGAGCCGTTGGAAGAGGAGGTGACTTTTTTCCCTGAGGGGGAAACCGACGAGGGGAGTTTTTTTTCTCCCCCCCTCCCCCATCCCCCCGAGGTTGTCGAGCGAGGATTTCCCTCATGGCTCTGGTGAGGAAATCTGCCGCTCCCGGCGCCTTGGTTTACGTTTCGGGCCCCGGCTTGGTCTCCCGAGAGACAAATCAACGCCGGGGAAGGCTTGAGGCCTAGTGAGGTGGGTGCAACTGCCCTCTGAAAGGCTTGTGGGGGGGTGGTGGCGGTGGAGATGGCCAGCGCTGGCAGGCAGGGCCGTGTATTTGTCTCTGTGTGTGTTGGGAGAATAATCATCATAATCATAAGTTTATTTGTCAAGCATATACCGTGTTTCCCCGAAAATAAGACCCTGTCTTATATTTTTTTTGAACCCTGAAATAAGCATTATGGCCTTATTGCCATGCGTTGAAAAGCCCGGTTGGGCTTATTATCAGGGGATGCCTTATTTTGGGGGAAACAGGGTATCTGTCTATGTCTATCTATATCTATCTATCTATCTATCTCTATCTAACCTATATCTATTTATCTCTATCTGTATCTGTTTGTTTATCTATCTATCTATCTATCTATCTATCTGTCTGTCTTACTATTTATCTATCCGTCTTACTATTTATCTATCATCTGTATCTACCGTGTTTTCCGTAAAATAAGACCCTGTCTTATATATTTTTTTTTACCCTGAAATAAGCATTATGGCCTTATTGCCATGTGCTCAAAAGCCCGATTGGGCTTATTATCAGGGGAATGTCTTATTTTGGGGGAAACGGTATCTATCTATCTATCTATCTATCTATCTATCTATCTATCTATCTATCTCTATCTAACCTATATCTATTTATCTCTATCTGTATCTGTCTATCTATCTATCTATCTATCTATCTATCTATCTATCTATCTGTCTGTCTGTCTTACTATTTATCTATCCGTCTTACTATTTATCTATCATCTGTATCTACCGTGTTTTCCGTAAAATAAGACCCTGTCTTATATTTTTTTTTACCCTGAAATAAGCATTATGGCCTTATTGCCATGCGCTCAAAAGCCCGATTGGGCTTATTATCAGGGGAATGTCTTATTTTGGGGAAAACAGGGTATCTGTCTATGTCTATCTATATCTATCTATCTATCTATCTATCCGTCTTACTATTTATCTATCATCTGTATCTACCGTGTTTTCCGTAAAATAAGACCCTGTCTTATATATTTTTTTTTACCCTGAAATAAGCATTATGGCCTTATTGCCATGTGCTCAAAAGCCCGATTGGGCTTATTATCAGGGGAATGTCTTATTTCGGGGAAAACAGGGTATAAGATAACAGGTAAAAATATAAACATAATTTGAATACATGAAAAGAGTAAGTAAAAAGGAATATTAGGAAAGGGACGGTAAGCATGCTGGTGTGCTTATGGCACGCCCCTTACAGATCTCTTAGGAATGGGGTGAGGTCCACAGTAGATAGTTTAAGGTTAAAGTTTTGGGGGTTTGGTGAAGAAACTATAGAGTCAGGTAGTGCATTCCAGGCGTTGACCACTCTGTTACTGAAATCGTATTTTCTGCAATCTAGTTTGGTGCGGTTTACTTTGAGTTTGTGTCTATTGTGTGCTCGTGTATTGTTGTGGTTGAAGCTGAGGTAGTCATTGACAGAAAGGACGTTGTGGCAGATAATTTTATGTAGTATGCTTAGGTCAGACTGAAGTCGGCGTAGTTTTAAGTTGAGATGATAAGTAAATATATATATTTTATATATATATATATTTATATATATTTGTTTTCGTAGATTTTCACGGGTACAGGTATGTAAGTCTTGGTGTATTTGGGTCTTTTCCCGTGTAAGATTAATTTTACACGGGAAAAGACCCGAATACACCAAGACTTATGAGTTCCAGGTATATTAGTAAAAAAAGAAGCAGACATACTGCGAACTCCGGAATTTAAGATTTTAAACTTTTAAAAGAATTAAAATTTTATTTTACTAAGCTTTCATCAGCCATCTGCTGACATCGTCAGAGTATTAAACTACCATTACAGAGATCTCTGCCTTTATTTATTTATTTATTTATTTATTGGTTCGATTTATATGCCACCCTTCTCTGGAGACTCAGGGCGGCTTACAATGCGTTAAGCAATAGCCTTCATACTTTTGTATATATCTGCTTAATAGGGCTTTCGCCCCCCCCCCCAAAGCGGTGTTCTTTTTATACAAAGTCAGCTTATTGCCCCCACAGTCCGGCTCCTCATTTTACCTACCTCAGAAGAATGGAAGGCTGAGTCAACCTTGAGCCTGGTGAGATTTGAACTTGCAGTAATTGCAGGCAGCTGGCAGCTAAATGCTACTTAACAGCACTTTAGTCCGCTGCGCCACCAAGGCGCCTGCAACAGAGGTTTTAGGCTCAATTGACTAGCTGCTACCAGAACTGGATAAATACCCTTGGGACAGCAAGTCAAATTGGCAAAGCCAGGTTTTCCAGGCTCTTTTCAGAAGGCAAAGATTTTGCCTTTTCCCTCCAAGTTTGCGGTTGTTCAAAGGCCAAGTGATAGTCTTTACAAGGGCTTATGTATTTCTTTAATCTACAGGAGCTTCTCTGCCACCCAAAATCGATTCCTGTCTCGTCCTATCTTTTTTTTTTAAATGATTGTTATTTCGAATCGTGACCTTTGAATATTCCAAGACCTTCTTGATTGCTTATTCCTTTATGGTTGATGGTTGATGCTAAAATGTATATGCTGTCTACCACTTTGATATCTTCATTACCGGTTTTAAGACAGTAGTTGTACCTGTTTCGTTAGTTGATGTTCTTTCTAGTTAATCTTAGTCCCATTTTTTTTCACTGTGTCCCTTGACTTTTATTACTAGAGGCTGCAGATCCTGCATTTTTGGCCATCACATTAGTGTCGTCAGCAAAGTGTTGGTCATTGATGTTTCTTCTCCCAATTTGAAAACCATGCTGTTTTTTCCCAATCAGGTTTCCCTTCACATATATTCATATAAATATAGAATGGAGGAAAAAAAAATAAATAAGGGGAGAGCATACAGTTTGTCGCTTTTGCCAACATGGAGCCTATCCATTTCTCTATGTTCTCTACTCATACTTATAGGTTTCGCATGAAGGTAATGAGATTTTGGGATTCTCATTTTTCTAAACAAATATCACAACTTGACATGATTGACATAATTTAAGGCCTTTCTATAATCAGTGAAGTACACACTGGCTTCTTTTCTTTTGTAATCTTTAGCTTTCTCGATTATACAGTGTGCATCAGTGTAGAGCCACACTTTAAAAAGTAGATGGAATTCCAGGACCTATATTGTCATTGAAAATTCATCTATTACTGGTTCATATTTCTAGTCCATCAAACTCAGTTCTGTAAAATGACCTTGGCAGTTTCACAAAATGAAAAAAGAAAATATTACCTATGAAAAGAAAAATACTGTCCCAGGAGAACAAATTAGAAAAACATTTTCCCACTCACCCACAACCTTAAAGAGGAACATCAAGTACCCCAACCCAAAAACTTGGGAAAGAGCTGAGTTCTACTCATGCTCCTGATTAAACAAGCCCACACTTGTGTAGTGTGTCATATCTATAACAGTAATGAACGCTCTTAGGAGGTAAATTGAGTCAGAGGTTTCATTCAGTTAGATGACTAAATGATGTTGATTTCAGGGGCCTCAGAAAAGAACAACATCCTTATAGATTGGCAAGGTGATTGTCTGCTCTTCGTGCCATGGGTTTATGGAAATGTACCATGCTCGGATCAAAATAGATTTTTGTAAATCTCAGAAATAATGAGGCTGGAAAGGCCTATAAACCATTTCTAAAGCCTTTGCAATCAGACAAACAAGCGTAAACACAGGAAATGAAAACAATTGTCATCCTTTATAGGAGCTGTCATCCAGTAAAAATTACCCCCCAAAATAAGGTATAATCGTAAAGAATCTGCAGGCTATTCTTGTATTGCCTGATGTCATTGTTCCATGGGCTCACCACAAGGAAAATATGGGAGGATGCGAAAGCAGAAACTGCTTCCCAAAAGTATATATGGCCACCTAAATGAATCCAGCAGAGTATTAAAACAGGAGATAGAAAAGTGGAACTTTCTGGCACTAGTGAGAGAAGTGCTTGAGTGAACAAAATATTAAATTTCAATAAAAGAACTTCCTCACCTGCAAACCATGTGAATAAAAATGCCCTTGCAAGCTTCAGGACACAAATGGCTTACAATCGTGGCATTCTAGATTGTACCAGGAAATTCTACAGAAGAATGTTGATTTCTACCCATGAACTGAAAGCATGAGTGAGTCATATAGTATAACAATGACCTAAAGACACAAATCCACCAGAATAGCTGAAGAAGCAGAAATTTCACGATTCGGAAGCCCTAACTATAATAACCAAACTGAAATTTTATGACATTACCTTAAATGGGCACTTCATGCGAGCATTGAAGCTGTTTTTTAAGAGGAGTAGACCAAAATGCCTCCAAGGTACCGTAATACGCAACATTAATCAACAGATACCGCAAATGTTTTGTTGAAATCATTGCCAGAAATAGAAATGCCACCAGTTACTAAATCTAAAACTTACAAGTAGAGGCAGAGAACGTTGGCTCAGTGAAAGCAAGGGACACTTTTTGGGGTGTTTCATTAACCAGAATGCTTGTTTGAGTTGGACTTAAATCTTAGTTAAATCACAGCTGCAGATTATAGAGTAATTTCCCACTACTATTTATCCTGGGTATCAGCCTACGTACTCAAAATGCTCTTATTTGAAACATCACCAAGTCATATCCTCTCAAAAATAATTAAATACAGTATCAAAGTTATACAAAATATATACCAAAAGATGTATCCAGCAAATTCAAACCTTCAGTTGTAGCATGCCACCCTCTGGTGCTTGATGAAATAACCAAATCTTAACTGGTCTCCTGAAATCCAGAAAAGGAAGGAGTAGATTGGCTCTTTGTAATGAAATGAAAAAAATTGAAGGAGTATGTTGGGCTTCTTGATAGGAGTTACTGTAGTTAAAAAGTAAAATGCTATATTATATGGACTAAAATGTAGCTGCCATAGTACTTTGGCAAGATACTGTATATTATTAGTTCAATTGATCATTGAAGACACAACTTTTGTAAATGAGTTTAAAATATTTTAGTTGAATAAAGCTGTATTGATATTTCTTTGGCAAAACTGACAAAGTCTTCAGTCAGATTTCTTTTTTTAAATTAAAACTTTATTTATACAACCCTGCAGTTCGGGAAACCTAGGGTCACAGTAATGTAAATTTCTAGCCATCAGCAGATTCAGATTGTGAATTTACAGGTCTAAAACCGTCTCAAAGCTCATAAATATTGGCTATATTTTGAGAGGTCCTCGGTGCTCTCTGAGCTTCATTGTTTTTCCTGCAAAGGTTTCATTACCCAAGAACCACCAAGAACGCTCCCACCAACCCAGACGAGGCAAGCCTTTGTATATAAAAAGAGAGCAAGCCCCATTTCCTTCTAGCACTGATGATGCTACCTACCTGGGTAATAAAACATCTGCAAGAAAGCAGCCAAGCTCAGAGAGGACCAAAGACCTTAAAGGTAAGTAAACTGCCTAGGATTCAGCCAGGTAAAACACTTGCCCAATTGCTCACTTGTTTGTGGATCTTCCCACAAGTGCAAGGTTGGATGAGATAGGTCTGCTAAAACATTAGCAGTCCAAAATAAATCTTATTATGTCTTTTATTGCAGGGTTTTCTCAAATGCCATTCTTGGGGACCTTTGGATGATGTAAGAATTTGATGGAATTACTTGGGACCTGAAGGGCAAAAAAGATCCAGCATTCACTTGGATACAGTGAGTTTTGTTCATCTGGGAATTTTTTATTTATTTTAGCTATCAGGTTCCGTAGCCTGGGGGGGTGGGGGATTGAAATCTGAAAACCCCTGTCTTGATGCACTGTGTAAAGCAGGTTTCACTCAGTGGCTGATCATCTGACCTCTTATTGCATCCATTACCGAGAAGTGAATGAGTTGCCTTTAAATATGATGCTAATGACTTCAATTCCCTATCTCCAAGGCTCCCTCAGCAGAGTGGTAGGGATTTGATCGGTGTTGTCGTGTTCCTCTCCCATCATCCCCTTGCAAAATAAGTTAAATAATAGCATAGCATTATGGAAAGCTGGCATTGATTGGCTTGGTGACTAAGCTGGCTTAATTTATACCCCTGACTGTTGTGCAAGCTAAAACATTGGGTTACTTTGGTAGAGAAACTAATTCAGTTTAACAGGTTGTGAGAACATTGCCAAACTACCGTGTTCCCCCAAAAATAAGACCCGGTCTTATATTTTTGTGAACCCCGAAATAAGCGCTTGGTCTTATTTTCAGGGCAGTCTTATTATTTTGGGGCACGTGGAGCAAGACGGGGCTCCTCTTGCCGTCTTACCTGATTTCCAGCTCTGTGTTTAAATATTTTCGGGGAGGGCTTATTTTCAGGGGGAGGCTTATTTTAGCGCATGCTCTCAAAAGCCCGATTGGGCTTATTATCAGGGGAGGTCTTATTTTCGGGGAAACAGGGTATAAGAAAGCAGTTTTCAGCTTGGAGTTCCAAAGTGAGCATGCTTATTTTAAATACTGGAATTTAGAAAAATCGGAAGCATCACTGCCTGATAAAGGGTTTTAAGAATTAGAATGCATTTTAGGTTTAAAAAAAAGGAGTGAAACAATCAATATCTGGATAGCAACAGGTGCTGTGTTATATCATCACAGGAATTAGGGTTTTTATGAGAATTACAGAAGACTGGTGAAACAGAATACTGGAATAATGTGTTTCTCTCCTTTAAATTGTAATTATATATTTACAAATATACATTGTTTTAATAATTGGCATATTATACTGTACATTCTGTATAGTAAACCAGTCTTATGGTAATAAAAATCTTAAAACGAGACTTGTTCTGTTTTTTTTATTTTTACTGGGTTATCTAATGTCTTGTTTGAATTGGCTTGCATTATGAGACGGTTAGACTGTTCTCTTTATTGTTTATGTTATGCTTAATGTCCAATGTAAATAACATTGCACAGTAAGGGCTTTAAGGTCTATCATGATATAATGTAAAGTTTATTTTATTATGTACAAATTAACTCTATGAATGTCGATCCAGATGCGAGCCTCAAAAGAGATTATTCCCAAGACAGCACCCTGCAACAATTCAATGTGGATGCTTCTTTTTAGAAGTACCGCTACATTCATTGGGATTTACAGCAAGAACATTTCACAAGATTGTGTTTTTAATCTTTATAAATCAAAAGACCATCAGAGAATGGTCAGAGCTCTACTTCAGTAAATATACCAGTGAGGTCTTGTGTGTGTGTATGTATGTATGTATGTGTCAGGGTTCCAAGTAACACCCCCAACGAAAGAAGACTCCAAGGCTAGAAGTTCCTCCTAGTTCCATTTTATTAGAGATATCATATTGGCACACCTGGAAAAACCCGAATCTGAAAGCTTCCAGGTTTTACCCACCCAAAAGAAAGTTCAAGTCCTTGCCCAGCACCCATATGTCCATCACATGGTCCAATCAATCAAACCACCATCCCAATTGGAGATGCCTCCCAGTCACACCACTCCCAGGTGCAGGGCAAGATGTCCTTGACTCTCAAAGAAAATAATGTTGTTATGGCTAGATATCACTTCATACAATCCCCCCTTCTAGTTTCCCACAGCACTAAATGTGGCAGTCCTGAAGATCCAAAGTAAAAGATGGCTTCCAGGACGGACACGTGTGTGTGTGTATATGTGTTTAATGGCACCTTTGTAGAACTGCAGGCTTATGACAGGGCAGGGGAAAAACTTGATTTCTTTCCTTTCTTTACATATTTCATTTTTTCTCCCTGCCTATGTTTGTATACTACATGGAACCCTAAAAGTGGTAAACTACATTTTAGCCTAAGTACATATGAAAAAGCAGCCCATGTAATTAATTTAAGTCAATGTATTGACTAGACCAGAGGTATGGATGGCCCTTTTATGACTTGTGGACTTCAATTCCCAGAATTCCTGAGCTAACATGGCTGGCTCAGGAATTCTGGGAGTTGAAGTCCACAAGTCATAAAAGGGCCATAGTTGCCCACCCCTGGACTAGACAATTGGATTGAGTAAAGTAGGGCTGTTAACCCCTGGATAAGCATGTCTTATAGACACTATATATTTATAAGTAAATACCTGAGTACAAGTTTAAATTCTTAAAAATTACACCACAAAATACTATTTGTAATGGGAATACCTACAGAGCAGTAGGATCCAGACACTGACCTGTTGGACCCCCCTCAAATGATGCTTTGCAAATAAAGACCATCCTAGAACTCAATAGTTATAATATTGGAGCAGTCAAAAGCTTATTTTACAAATAGTAAAGAAAATGTTAGAAAACGGAAGAAATAGGGACTCGTGATCCTTTTAGCGATTGTCAATAAGATGGATCCAGGTGACAAGCGATTTACATTTCCACACATATATATTTAATAACTGATCCAAGTGACATGAAAGTTTAAAGATATCATCACTACACTGTTTGATCTTCAAAGAAAAGAACTAATTAGGTTTCCCAAACTACGATAAAAACTGGGTTAATGAAACCGATAAGAGAACTCCAGAGGACTAAAAAGCCCTAATTTATAAAGTCCTCGTTTCAAGTAGCATTTTAAATATGGATTTATCCAGAACAATCCCCCCCCCGAGCTTTTTATCTGTAATATGGCAATGAAATATGGCACATGCTTTTTTTCTTTCCAAGTACAAAAATGGGACATCGTAGGATAAAACTACATGGGAGGAGATGTAGGACAAATAAAAGCAATTTTTTTAACATGTAACAGTTGACCTACATAATTTTTTTCCCTACAAAGAGTAGTAATTGGACAGATGTCTGGAGATTATTAAGGCTCTTAACGCTCATGATCTCTGCATTTTTTTTCCTATTCAAGTTTGTTGTGCTTGGTGTTGTGTCTAGGCATCCCACTGGCTAATCATTTTGTTGTTAGATGGACCTGATCTAGAATTATATTTATCGTACATTTTACATTTCCCCCAGAATAAGATCCTGTCTTATATTTTTTTTTGAACCCTGAAATAAGCGTTTGGCCTTATTTTCGAGGTGGTCTTATTATTTTGGGGCGCATGGAGCAAGACGAGGCTCCTCTTGCCATCTTACCTGATTTCCAGCTCTGTCTCCCTAACCCTAACCAGAGGAAATGGTGTGCATGCATTTAAATATTTTTGGGGAGGGCTTATTTTTGGGAGGGGCTTATTTTATTGCATGCACTCAAAAGCCTGATTGGGCTTATTATCTGGGGCGGTCTTATTTTCGGGGAAACGGGGTATATTTTTATGTCATGAAGATCTAAGAATGCATATATGTGGCAGCCCTACTCACACAGAGTGACATGTAAGTAAATTATATAATTACTAACATCTGGTTTTAAAATTAGATTATGGGGAGGGGTTTATCAAGGGTGGGTATCTCTATAACGAAGGGGAGTAGAATACATATAGTAACACGGGATTTATACCCAAAATATATTGTTCCCCTCCTCATAGTGGATGCTAGTGATAGTCCTTGCCTTATAACCATTCATTTAGTGACGGTCATGTGATCAGATTCACTGAACAGCCCCATTCGTAGCTTAAGAACTGCCGCGATTCATTTAACGGTTCTGGCAAGAAAGGCCGTACAATGGGGCAAAGCACACTTAACAACGATCTCGCTTTGCAACAGATTTTGGACTCAATTGTGGTCATAAGAGCCCAGGTGGCGCAATGATGAGAGTGCGGTACTGCAGGCTACTTCTGCTGCCTGCCGGCTGCCTGCAATTTGGCATTTCGAGTCTCAAGGTTGACTCAGCCTTCTATCCTTCCGAGATGGGTAAAACGAGAACCCAGATCGTTGGGGGCAAGAGGCTGACTCTGTAAAACCGCTTAGAGACGGCTGTAAAAGCACTATGAAGCGGTATATATATATGAAGTGATGTCCCAGTGCCTGGAGGCTGTGCGGATCTGGATGGGGAGGAACAGGCTCAAACTCAACCCTTCCAAGACTGAGTGGCTGTGGCTCCCGGCATCCCGATATAGTCAGTTGACTCCATCACTGACTATTGGGGGCGAGTCTTTGGCCCCCACTGAAAGGGCTCGCAATCTGGGAGTCCTCCTGGATAGGCAGCTGTCCTTGGAGGAACATCTGACGGCTGTTACCAGGGGGACCTTTTATCAGGTTCGCCTGATCCGCCAGTTGCGGCCCTTTCTCGATCGGGATTCCTTGTGCACAGTCACTCACGCCCTCGTCACCTCTCACCTTGACTACTGCAACGCTCTCTACATGGGGCTCCCCTTGAAGAGCACCCGGAGGCTCCAGCTGGTCCAGAATGCAGCAGCGCAGGTAGTGATGGGAGCAACATGGCGCTCCCATGTAACACCGCTCCTGCGCGAGCTGCACTGGCTCCCGGTGGTCTTCCGGGTGCGCTTCAAGGTGTTGGTTATCACCTTTAAAGCGCTCCATGGCATAGGGCCTCGCTATCTGCGAGACCGCCTGCTGCTACCGACGACCTCCCATCGACCCGTGCGCTCCCACAGAGAGGGCCTCCTCGGGGTGCCATCAGCCAAACAATGTAGGCTGGTGACCCCCAGGGGGAGGGCCTTCTCTGTGGGGGTGCCCACCCTCTGGAATCAGCTGCCCCCTGAGATAAGGAGAATCCATGACCTCAATGCCTTCCGTCGTTCCCTGAAAACCCATCTTTTCCAGCAAGCCGGGCTGGCTTAAGAAGAAATTTTTAAATTCTTTTAATTAGTTTATGATTTTTTTTAACTTTCGGGCCAAAATTTATATATATTTTTAAATGTTTTCATATTTGTATTCTATGTTTTTTATCTTGGCTGTACACCGCCCTGAGTCCTCAGGGAGAAGGGCGGTATATAAATTGGAAATTAAATTAAATTAAAATTAAATTAAATATAAGTCTAATTGCTAGAAGTCGAAGATTTCCTGTGGTGGCACCAAAACCAAAATAACATTGAAGCCTATGAAATGGGCTAGTGAATTACTTGATAAAGCTAGTGAAACGTTAGTGGAAAAAAAAAAGCACAGCTATTCGGAAATTGTGTGTAGATTGCAACAACGCCCGCCTGCAATTTGGGAAGCATATTATACCTCCCACTTAATTTTTTCGGCGCTTGTGGTTATTTACCAACGTCGCTTATTCGGCTTCTAGAGCCGCCCATCTCACGCGAGGCTTCCTGGGCTGCTTGTCTATAGGCCGGTGCATCCGAGGGAAGCAAGGCGGGGTCGTGGCGGGGCCCCAGAGGAGCCTTCTCCCGCACCCCCATCTGCGGCGCTGGGAGCGAGCGCGGAACCTCCCAGCGGAGGCGAAGCAAAGGAAAAAAAAAAAAAAAGCGCCGAGCTTCGATCGCTTTGAAGTGTAGCAAACATCTCGAGAGTCGAAAACAAAACGGGCCAATCAGCGCCTTTCCTGAAGCGGCCAATTTGCATGCGAATGCCAACTCAGAGCCAGCATCCGCAAGCGCCTTTTTACGCTTGCAAGGGGCGTCCCCGTGAAAGGGCGGAAGGGGATCCGTTGCAACGGGGGTAAAGTGAAGGGGGGGGGGAAGGCGGGCCTTGCGGCGGTGCACCGCCCCGGCGGAGGAGGAGAGGGGGCCGGGCCCCTCCCCTTTGGTGGGAGCCGGTAGATCCGGGTCTCCTGCAAAGGGCCGGAATCTGACGTGGTCAGTGCAAATCAAAACACAAGACCGGAGGGGTGGATTTCTTTCTCTGCAGCCTCGCCAAATTGCACCAGCCGCCGCCGCCAATTTGGTGAGTTTGGCACCGAGTCTTGGGCTGCGGTTCAAAATGATGCACGCAATCCGTTGCCGGGGGTGGCTGCGAGGGACCCTTTAAAAGTTTCGGCCACTTGGAACGAAACCAGATCCTCCAGCTTCGCATTCCGGTGGCGATCGCTTGCTCGGTTGCTTTTTTTGTCTTTTGCACCCTGGAGCCCAGCTGCTCCCCAGATAGATAGAGAGATTCTTAGGAGGAGGAGGAGGAGGATTGAGCCCTTCTGGGCAGTCTCCTTGCACCAATGGCTCGGGAGAAAGTTGCGCCTGAGAAATAGCGATCTGGCGTTGCAATCCTGGGATCTCCGTTCCCCCCCCCCCCCCGGCGGCTTCGTGTTCCGTGAGTGGCTCGATCTAAAAGAGGAAGCAGGCCTCTGCTGGCTAAGATTTGTTTGTTCTGTGCATTCCGATTTATACTGCAACTTAATGGAGTGATACAGTTGATAAGCGGGATTTTTAAAAAAATAAGTCTGGAATTCTTTGAAAGTGATGTATTTATGTGGGCTCAGTGAGGTCATCAGCTGGCCTTGCTCCCTGTAGAATGCTTGAAACGTGATGAGGCAGACCTGACTGTAGGAAAAAAAAGTAAGTTATTGCTAATATTTAATACCCTTAGTATTATACCATTTAATACACTGAGCAAGCTGTTTGAGCCCTCTGTAGCATCCATATTGAGTTGCAAGTTTATTATACTGATAAAAATCTTCCTGCTTTTCAGAAGGAAGTTATCCTGGGTCATAACTTCCCATCCATTCTGAGGTTCAAGCCCTTAAACTGACCATATAATTTTATTAGTTATTCCAAATGATCAGGCGTAGCCTTTTAAAAGTAATACCACCGTGAAATGCTTGTGCCTGAACAACTTTGAAACTGGTTCTTTGGGTCCCTACCAAACAAAGAAAATGCAGAGAAGAGCTACAAAGATAAGTGCCTGCAAGCTAAATTACATAACCAATGTTTATTTGTATAATGGACTGCTATGTTTAGTCTAATGAAAAGGAGGCTTGGGGAGACCCGATAGCATCTTCCAATACTGGGAAGGCTGTCATAGGTCGATTTATTCTCCAAAGCACCTGAGGACAGGACAAGAAGTAACAGGTGGAAGCTCCCCAGAAGGAGATCCACCCTGGAAAAAAGGAGGAATTTCCTGACAGTGAGAACTATTAAACAGATCTTTCCACCCAGAGTTGTGGTTGCTCCATCACTGGAGGCTTTAAAAAAAAAGAAATATTGGACCACCATTTGGCCGGGATGATATAAGGTTCTTAACCTTGGGCAAGGGGTTGGGCTAGAAGACCTCACAAGGCCCCTTTCAGCCCTAGGATTCTGTGAATCTCAAAAAGTTAAAAGGGCCCAACTTCTTACCTGAATGTGGGATGCCCATATTAGGAAGTGTTGGAAGAAACATCCTTCTGGGTTCTGCTCCAAGTGGGGAAAACAGACACTGGAAACATGGAGACTGCTTGGAAAGATGGTTTAATGGTGGACAGGATCACATGGCTTGAGTTCCTGAACAGAAAAGGGGCGATACAGTAAATCTTCGGGTTTTTATGCTCTTGCTGGCTCTGCATTTCTTGGGGCCACGAAAGAGTATCCTGATTGGTTGTCAGACTCCCAGGGGGTGGGGGTCTTGCTGGCTGATGCAATCTTCCCAGGTGCCATGTGGTGAGCCTCGTCTAGATGGGTCCCATTGTGTTAGTTTCTGTTGCTATTGTGTAGAGGGCTAATCCTATCTTTCGCAATTCCTACTATGGCTCTGCCTGAAGGAGGTAGATCTTTGTTATGTAGAATAGACTGGCCCAAGCCTTAATGGCCCATTGACAAAGGGTGGGGGGGCAGGAAGATGGGAGCTGCTTTGTCTGTAAAATATGCTTCTCATATTTCTGCCTTTTTCATATTTTCTAAAATATTTCACTCTTCCAGGAAAGGGTTGGGTGCTAACTTCCTACAATCCCTACTCTTTTTTTTTCAAAACGTGAGTTTTGAAACAAGTTCTTGGCAAAAGATTAAAATTGATCAGGTCAGGGAGGCTTGATGAGTGCTTTTAATTGCTCTAATGCAAAGGGGAAAGACATTGATAGAGGCAACAGAAAAGGATTCCTTCAGTGACTTCCAAAAGCTTTCAACCATGAAGGTCTAGCAGCCAGGAAAAAATTTCTGGTAAGAATTTTACAGTATCCAATTTTCCATGCCAATTAATTTCAGACTTCAGATATTACTTTCTGTGAGCTTCCAGTCAGGTTTCAAGCAAACACATGTCCCAAAATTTTTCACAGCCATGATTTTCCTTTAAATTGCAGGCTGCCCATTTCCAAGGGTTGGTTACTGAACCTGTCCTAGCTCTTAGTTTAGTGCATCCAGGATTTGTGAGTCCAAATTGAGGTTAGCCAGTGTACAATATCCATTCTTTTTTTTTTTTTTTTTTTTTTTTTTTTTTTGTTACACATAATGAGCCCTGGGATTTCTACTCATGAGACCACCAGTGCAATATATCTTCCTTTACTGGGCAACTGGGCAGCATCATTTGAGTCACAGTCAGGGCTTGGGTTTTGGAGATCACTTTTCTGCTATCTCTTCAAGTGAGGGAATTGCCTGAGGGGTATTGCTTCCTTCCCATCAAATTAGCAGGGAGATAAGACTCCTTGGGCTTTTAGTGCCACAGAGCAAAAATCAACCTAGGAGAAGCTTTGTGTGGAGGTAAGTGAAGGGAATAGTTGCAGTCTAATTCTGAATAATGTGTGTCTCTCTGTGTGTGCATGTGTATGCAGCTACTTTTACAATACAGGCAATACAAACATTTTGGACATATTTCTCCTCTCCACCAGACAGAAATCTAGAGTGTACATAACTTGCTGTGGCAATCACTCCCAAATACAATTTTTACAATAAACTGATTACAATATAAATGAGACAAGAAAGAAAACCTTACAATGAATTTCCACCCTCCCCCATAGTCTTTCCAGCTGTCTTCTGGGAATTGAAAAGAATCTTTTGGTCTTTACTTGTACATCTCAGGGTCTTTTCTTTCATGTCTGCTGGGTAGCATGCTTGGTGGTAAGGCTGGTCAGTCAGGCTTGGAAAGGTCTGCTCCACTCTGGTTGCTGTGCTGACTTTCAGTGGAGGCTGGATTCAAACCCAATTCCTGGTTCAAACAGATGGAGGGTCTCCTTTGGAGGCAGCATCTGGATCCATGTGCTCTGCTTCCACAGGTTGCAGAGTCCTTTGTGCAGGGCTGAAAGACATTAGAACAGGGTCCCCTCCCACCTTTTGTGGGTAATCTTCCCAGGAAAGGCAATGTAACAGGATTAGAGATGGGGGGGTAGATAGCTTGCAGGCAGAGTTTGAAAAGAAACAACACAACAATATTGCAGTTACTAAACAGATAATGCAGTTTCAACAAAATGGAGACACAACAGATAAGAAAAAAACTGGATTCACATGCTTCAGGAAAGAGATGAACAGGTAAACCCATTTAAACACATACAGTAAATGCAAGACTGATTTTTTTCTTGTAAACAAACTTAAAACGTTTCCTCATAAACTTGAGTTGTTACTTTAAGATACAGAGAGAGGAGAAAAAAAACAGAAATGAAATGAAATGCTCTCTTTAATCTGTGTTTGTTGGCCAGACAAACACAGGGCAAAGGCTCTTTCTTTCTTTTTTCTCTCTCTCCCATTTTTCATTGTTTCAACCTTTTTTTTTTCTAACAATTTAAAATTCTTGTCTCTAGAGATCAGATACATTTTACAGTTACAATTACCTCGAGGGCGCACAAAGACTTAGACACACACACATAAAACAAGGAAGACAAAGAGAAGAAAACAGAACTCTGAGATTTCACACACACTGATCATTCCCACATAAATCTCAGTTAAATTAGGGAAGGCACAAATCTTAAACATACCACGTGGTTGCATAGAAGACAGAGAGACAAACAAACAAACAAAACAAACAAAATCCCCAACATTCCTATTTATATATTTCCCTTTTCTTTTAAGTACCTTTATTTAGCCAAATTTGTCTCCCGGTGTTATCTCTTAGCAAAGCCCATTTTTGACACAATTTTCCTAATTTCCTTTTATCCATGCCCCTCAATATGGGCACCCGCCTGGCGTCCCAGGCCGCGAGCACTTCATCTACTGGGGTCCCCGCCACCCGCGAACTATCGCTACCCATGACCCTTTCCTTTTCTCCGGAAGGATCACTTCGACTTAGCCGGGTGGCACGCTCTCAGTTTTCAGAGGAAAAAGCTCTGGGAAGGACTTCGATTCCCTTGCGAAGTATGGGCCCCTTCCTCCAGGGAATCACCACAACTTTTCGGATCCAAAAAGGGGATCCGCGAGGACCTGCTGACCCCTGCAGCCAGGTGTGGGCACCTCCTCTTACACACACACACGCTCGCCCCGTGTCTGGGCTGGACAAAACCGGGTTTCCCTTTCACAATTTATTAATCCCCCCTTTTTCACACGCTTGGCTTTCGCTTGGCTTCCATTCCTTTTAAACACAAAGTTCCACATTTGGTGACCCCCCCTTGCTTTCTCTATCCTACCGGTCATGGCTCGGTGGAGCTAGCAGTAGGCAGAGGTGCGGCTAGAGGTCACGCAAAGAGGTGAAATCAGACTGTTTTCCAGGTGGAATCCCACACACACACTTCCTCCTTCCCTAACAGAAGGTCCTGTGCTCTGGCAAAACCCCCATGCTCTCCAGACCGTTAGTCTTTCTGCGGCTAGGAAATGCACAGAGGAAGCAAGATCCAGCTGTACTTGGGAGAAGGGCCTTCACTCACACACATGCAGGCATACACAAATTTCCCATGCTTTTCCATACTTCAAAATTAAAATTTAGAGGTACTCACCTTCTTTCCAAGCAGCCTTTGAGCTCAAACTCAAAACCCCTTTAAAACCTAGTTCCAAATGGCCAAGGTCCATGAAAACATGCCCACAGACTCAATGGGTCTGCTGCTAGCAAGGGAGGCTTACCTGGGCCTGGTCCATTGGTTAGGTTAGCTTGGAGTCCCATCTGGGTCGCCAATTGTTGGAAGAAACATCCTTCTGGGTTCTGCTCCAAGTGGGGAGAACAGACACTGGAAACATGGAGACTGCTTGGAAAGATGGTTTAATGGTGGACAGGATCACATGGCTTGAGTTCCTGAACAGAAAAGGGGCGATACAGTAAATCTTCGGGTTTTTATGCTCTTGCTGGCTCTGCATTTCTTGGGGCCACGAAAGAGTATCCTGATTGGTTGTCAGACTCCCAGGGGGTGGGGGTCTTGCTGGCTGATGCAATCTTCCCAGGTGCCATGTGGTGAGCCTCGTCTAGATGGGTCCCATTGTGTTAGTTTCTGTTGCTATTGTGTAGAGGGCTAATCCTATCTTTCGCAATTCCTACTATGGCTCTGCCTGAAGGAGGTAGATCTTTGTTATGTAGAATAGACTGGCCCAAGCCTTAATGGCCCATTGACAAAGGGTGGGGGGGCAGGAAGATGGGAGCTGCTTTGTCTGTAAAATATGCTTCTCATATTTCTGCCTTTTTCATATTTCTAAAATATTTCACTCTTCCAGGAAAGGGGTGGGTGCTAACTTCCTACAGAAGGAAAGTAAAAAAAAAAATCATCAAAGCAGTAGCAAATCACTTTTATATTCTTGCCAAGAAAAAGGCATAGAGATATGTTTGTCACCTTCAGTAATTTATAAAAATAAATGTAGTTATAGAGGAACTGAGCTCCCCTTAAGGAAGATAACTTTTTTTTTTAAATCTCAGTATCTTTTAGTTGCTTGTTCCCTCCCCCCCGTTTCCTTTCCCTTCCCAATCCTTTATTGCTTCTGACATGTCCTCCTGTTTATTGTTGCTTAAAAACACACACGCCCAAACTCAAGTCTAAAGTTGCAGCGGATAAACAGCCAATTGTGAAGTTTTTGGGCTGTAGCCAACGGCAACTGTCTTGACTCTCAAAAGATGACCAGAGATGACGGATTTTCCTGCCTGCGTTCCTTTAATAATTCGCCACTCGCTTTGAAATGCTGAAAGGTTTTCAAGAATGGATAGAAGCTGATCCAGAAAATTAAAATCCCCGTGGTCAGTAATGGACCTGTTTTTTCATTGTTTATTGCTTATTATCTTCCCTTGGATTTTATCCTACCTTTCTCATTCTGATTTGGCTCTTTTTGCTCTTAATTCCCATTTCATTTTATTGGGGGAGGTGGGATGTACTTATCTCCCCTACTCGCATTTTTACCTCATTGTATCAGTAATGGCATTCCTTCCCTTTGGAAGACTGGATGTAACATATGATATAAGGTCCCCTTGAGACTGGTTCAAGGAAATGCTAGCAGTTATAGATTGTTTTTTAAAAAAACAAACAAAAAACCAGTATAACCAGTTGGAAGGGATGGGAAAGAATGACTAGCGCATAATATGCACTTGAGGAAGAAAGACCAAAAAAAAAGAGTTTTGGTGTATTAGGAATTATCCATCTGTAAATCCTGTGATATTAAAGAGTTATTTCTTTCCAGGTTTTTTGAACTACAATTTCCTTCTATGTTGACAATGACCTGCAGGAAAGGTCTTATGGGGGACACATCTGGATGTGTATGTGCACATGTGGCAGAGAGATAGACAAAGAGATACCTTAAAGATTGACCAATATTTTGACCTTGCTCTTGATGACACTGATTTTTTTGGGGGGGGGGTTAAGTAGAAGAGGAAGAATTTATTATAAAGAGCAGTATTTTCAACTCTATGATGCATCCAATTGCTACATGTCCTCAAATGCAAATTGCATCTAGCTTTTCTTTTTCTTTTTTTAAAGATCCAGTTAGTAATTGTGACTGTGGATCAATTGGCAAAAGAACACACGGGTTCATTTAAGAAGGGGGCCTTTTGTACATCTTGAATTGGTGGAGCATATCTTTATATCTTTATCTGAAGGGCAGGGATCTGCAACCTTAAATATTCAAAGAGCCATTTGGACCCATTTCCCACAGAAAAGAAAACACCGGGAGCCACAAAACCTGGGTGGGCGTGGCCAACTCTATGTCACTCACTTCCACATGACCCCCCCTAGCCACGCCTACCCAGCTGGTCATTAGGGCAGAGAACCAGTTGTTAAAAAACACTGGGAACCACAAAATCCTTCTGACATCTCTCTCTCTTCCCACTCCCTCCCTCTCCTACCCCCTCCCTCTGTATCTCTCTCTGTCTCTCTCTCTCTCTCCCCCCCCTCTCTATCTCTCTGTCTCTGCCCCGGCCCCTTCTCCATCCCCTGCCATCGCCCTTACCTTCTCAGGCCAGGTGGGAGTGACTGGGAGGGGAGGGTGAGGGGCGGGGCCAGCCAGTGGTGGGATCACCTGATAGGGAGCCACAGCAGAGGGCCCAAAGAGCCACAAGCGGCTCCGGAGCTGCAGGTTGCTGACCCCTGCTGTAGGGCAAAGACGTGGGGGGATCTATTCACCCTAACCCACCTTAGGTGGAAAACTCTTTGTGTTTTCAGTAAAACCTATCTGCTTTTGTTCCTGGAGGTTCTAATTTCTGCCTGGGCTCTTTCTAAAGTCTGATCAGTATAAGGATTATCAAGGGCAGAGAGATAAGGGCTGATAAGGGAGGGTAATAGGCTGATAGATGAATGGACTTTTGATTTGGTGCTGATAAGAAGAGAGTCTCTCTCTCTCTCTCTCTCTCTCTCTCTCTCTCTCTCTCTCTCTCTCTCTCCATTTGATACCTTTACATTGTGCATGCTATTGTATATTTATTTATTGATTGGTTCGATTTATATGCCGCCCTTCTCCGGAGACTCAGGGCGGCTTACAATGCGTTAAGCAATAGCCTTCATACTTTTGTATATACCTGCTTAGTAGGGGTTTCAGCCCCCCTCCTAAGCGGTGTTCTTTTTTATACAAAGTCATCTTATTGCCCCCACAATCCGGGTCCTCATTTTACCTACCTCGAAAGGATGGAAGGCTGAGTCAACCTTGAGCTTGGTGAGATTTGAACTTGCAGTAATTGCAGGCACCTGGAGCTACTTAATAGCACTTTAGTCTGCTGCGCCACCAAGGCTCTTGGTATAATTGAATATTTAAGGGCCGTTTTTAAAATATATATTTTTTTCTCCACCAACCTCGATACGATGTACGCTTAGAGAGACACTCTTTAATATTTGTTTATTGATATCTCGCTTGAATTGTTTTTATATGAATAGCGCAGGCTAGCATGTCTACTCCTCCTTCCTTCTCCTACCTATTTCAACAATCCTGTGAGGTTAATTGGTGAGAGAGAGGAGGGAGGGAAGGAGGAAGAGAGAGAGAGAGCACTACTGGCCCAAAGTCACCCAGCTAGCTTTCAGGCCTAAAGTGGGACTAGAATTCAGAGTTTCCTGGTTTCTAGGCCAGCACCTTAATCGCTAGACCAAACTGGTTCTCTGTATGTTGCTAGGATTCTTTTTCAGGCTTGATTTTAGACAAATGTCTTTGCTTTAACATCTGTTGTTAGAATGTCAAGAAAGTTGCAGTAGCCCCACGCTAATCATTGCATTTTATCTTTCCAAATGTCCTATTTTGCGGAGCTGATGGGCTTTGATGAGATCAAAGAGAGAAAGACAGGGACCGATGATCATCCGAATTCTATCTCAAGCTTTTATTCGCAAGGAGGTGGGGACAAACATGAAACGTTTTCAGTGCGACAGACATATTGGTGGGATGAAAACTGTCCCGGTCCATAGTTGCAACCACAATATAAATTACCTTTTTGTACACTTCCCTGTGCAAGCGATTAAAACGTCAGCAACACGGTGAGATGCATTTGTCTGTAACCAAGTAATTTGCATTGTCTTACCATAAGAAACTTGTTTTTAATGAAAGTTTGTTCTTTCCCATGAGAAATTACTCATTTCCTACTTTCACCAATATATTTAGCAGAGGTGGTATATAATATTTGCAAAACAAACATCTACTTCGAGACAAAGCTGCTGATAATGTTTCGCTATTTCAGGACAGTGAATGGCTGCAGGTAGTCCTCGATGTACGACCACTATTTGTGCTCACAAAATTTCTGTTGCTAAGCCAGACAGTTGTTAAGTGAATGTTGCCCCGTTTAATGACCTTTCTTGCCACTGTTAAGTGAATCACTGCAGTTCTTAAGTTAGTCACATGCTGGTTAAGTGAATCTGGCTTCCTCCATTGGGCTTTGCGTGCCAGAAGGTCGCAAAAAGGAATCACATGAGCCCGGGACACCACAACTGTCATAAGTATGAGTCAGTTGCCAAGGGTCTGAATTTTGATCCCATGACTATGGGGATGCTACAACAGTCGTTAGTGTGAAAAACGGTCCTAAGTCACTTTTTTCAGGGCCGTTGTAACTTTGAACAGTCACTAAATGGACTGTTGCAAATGGAGGACAACCTAAGAACTTAATTCCCCGTTGATCTCGGCTGCTGAAATATTTTAAAAAGCAGCTTTTAATCACCAAAAAGTTGACCAAATTGTGTAACTTATGCCAGAGTTTTACTTCTTTAAAACAGTAGAAAGCAACTATTTTGTCCATTACAAATATTAGGTAGTCCTTGACGTATGACCACAATTGAGCCCCCAGTGTCTGTCGCTAAGTGAGACAATGGTTGAGTTTTGCCCCATTTTACAACCTTTCTTGCCACAGTTGTGAAGTGAATCGCAGTGGTTGTTAAGTAAGACGGCTGTTAAGTGAATCTGGCTTTCAGATTCACTTGGCTTGTCAGAAGGTCACAAAACGGATTTATGGTGGACGTGTAACAAAGCAAAGAAATATGGGAGTAGGATACACGCCTTAATACAGAAGATTCTCAAAAGTGAATGTAAAGATAAAACCAGAAACTTCTCTTTTCTTTGCGTTTTAATGGAAAAAGACGTGGGGGAGGATGGAACTTTGATGTTATATTTGTTGACGGCAGCAAATTATGCATAAAAATGGAAGGACACTTTGATCCCCGAAATGGACAGATGGCTGCAGAAGCGGAAGGAGTTAGCAGAGATGGCTAAACTGACTGCTTTGATTAAAGACAAACTTTAAAATAAAAGTAAATTTTGTTTCTACTTGGAAACCGTTTCTGGACTTTGTGCTCGAGGTGGGGGAAAAAAATGAAGCTGTGATTTTGGGTTTTACCAATGAGATAGTTTGTTGTTATAGAAATGGCTCGTTTATACCATTATATAAAAGTAAAAAGCTGAGCTTTGATGCTATTAGCTTATTCTACTGCACCAAAGGGAGTTGGGAAGTCAACGCCTTTTCTTTATTTTGCCCCTTTTTTCCTGCAATTTTCTCTTCCCTTTTCCCTCCCCTATCTTTCCTACTATTTTCTTTTGTTATTTTTTTTTGTCTTATAGTATTAATACATAAATAAAACTTTATAAAAAAGGACCTCAGAACACAGCAACCATCATAAATATGAATTAGTTGACAGGCACCTGAATTTTAATCGTGTGTGTCCATGAGGATGGTGCAATGATTGTAAGTGTGAAAAATAGTCCTAAGTCATTTTTTTTCAGTGCTGTTGTAACTTCGGTCATTAAATGGACGGTTGTAAGTCGAGGGCGACTTGTAATAGCTTTCAACACAAAATGACTTTTGCAACAAAGAATTGGTTGAGATAACTTTGACATCTTGAAGGTATAATCTGTGCGATTAATTGCACAATAAAAATTGCCACGTTCCATTCTACTTTTGTATTTACCTTAATATAAGCCTTTGTTTTATACTAGTTAAGCAGGTGTGGCAGGAAACAGCCGGTAAAGAAAGAGGATTTTGTTGTTTGTCAAACTCTAAAGTAGGATTTCTACTCCTTAAATAGGTACAGCCTGAAAGTGACATTTAGAAACTTCACATTCTTGTTCTTTTATAATTTTTATAAAGGTTGTCTCCATGTACTTTTTCTGATATCTTTTTGGAGCCTCTGATACAGGCGTAAAATCAGACATTGGCTATTCTTTAGCAAACACCCATGGAAAAACTACAGATTGCAGGATTATCCTGTAATTTTTTTTTTATTTGTATTTTTTTTATTTGTATCCTGGCCTTCTCTACAATGGCTCCCTCTCTTTGGAACATCACTCCTTCAGAAATCAGGTTGACCCCCTCCTTCCTTTTCTGAAAGGCCTTGAAGACATGATGCTGTTAGGGTTTGGGGACCCCAGGTTGATTCAGGGATGATCAAGGGCTTGGATTATTGTATTCGTCGCTGTCAAGGGGGTATGAGTTTCTTGTCGATTTTTAATGCTTTACGCCACCCCGATGCACAATGTATGAGTTGGATAGCCAGAGAGCGAGTTTGGACTAGTGGTTAAGACACCAGGTTAGAAAGCAAGAGACCGTGAGTTGTAATTCCACCCTAGGCATGAAAGATGGCTGGGTGACTTTGGGTTAATCACCAGGAGACAGTGACTTCTAGTCCCATTTTAAGCATGAAAACCAGCTGTGTAACTTGAGGCCAATCACCAGGAGATGATGAGTTCTAGTCCGCCTTAGCTATGAAAGCCAGCTGAGTAACTTGGGGCCAATCACCAGAAGGTGGGAATTCTAGTCCCCCTTAGGCATGAAAGGTAGCTGGGTGACTTTGGGCCAATCATCAGGAAATGGTGAGTTCTAGTCCTGCCTTAGACATAAAAACCAGCTGGATAACTTTGGCCTAATTACCCGGAGATGGTGAGTTTTAGTCCAGCCATAGCTATGAAAGCCAGCTGGGTTGATCTTGGGCCAGTCATTCTCTCTCAGCACCCCAACTCACCTCACAAGGATGTTGTTATGGGGAAAATAAGAGGAGGAAAGTGTGTTGGATATGTTTGCCACCGTGAGTTATTTGTGGAAACAATATCAATGAATGAACCAATAAAAAATGTAAAATGAATAAATAACTAAACACAGCCCCTTTTGTTTCCTCCTAGGGTCCGTTAACGTTCCAGGCCCATCCACAACATGGCAGAAGGCGGCTTTGACCCCTGTGAGTGTATTTGCGCACAAGAGCACGCCATGAGAAGGTTGATCAACCTGGTAAGGATAACCTGAGGGATGAGAGTCTTGTTCTGTGGAGTTGGCTGCTTTGAAGAGCCTTCAGATCCAATCTGCATGGATAAGGGCCTCCAACCCCTCTTGGATTTTCCATCCAATGCAGTCAAATGCAAATAAGCAATATGCTTGGACGACTCCTCCCACCTTCCTGCACGGATGGAGGAACGAAAGGATAGACGGACAAATAGACGTCTGTCTGCCTGCTCTAGTTCTGTATAGATACCTGTTTGTCCTATCTCCCATAGCTATCAAAGGAGGTTTTCAGCAACAGGTAGTCCCCAGCTTGTGACCAGAATTGAGTCCAATGTTTCTGTTGCTGAGTGAGACAGTTAAGCAATTTTTCTCAAAAAAAATATATATATATATTTTTAAGCAAAACATAAAACATCCTTCATCCATTACAATTTCAAGCAGTGTGTCGATCATTTACGAATAAAAGTCTCTCACCGAATCGACATACTTCCTTCCGATCTTCTTCCGTTCCGGAGCTGTCCCAACTTCAGCAGCTACAATGGCTGCCACCCCACCGCTGGAAAAAGGGCTTCTCCTGGATCAACCAGGGACTTTGCGATGTCCCTGGGATCAACAGGATGTGCCCTCCACTATCACAGTCTCAACGGGACTGTGAGGTCCAAAAAGGACCGTCCAGCGGCGATGATCCTGGAGCCCCAGGATCTTCTGTCCGTGCTGTAGCGACGTCAGCTCCTCTCCCCGACAGTTAAGCGAATTTTGTCCCATTGTATGACGTCTCTTGCCACAGTTGTTAAGTGAACCCCTGCAGTGGTTAAGCCAGTCTGGCTTTCCTATTGATTTTACTTGTCGGACGGTTGCAAAAAGGGGATCGCATGAACCAGAGATGCTGTGACCATCATAAATATGGGACAGTTCCCAGGCGAGTCTGAATTTTGATCGTGTGACCCTGGGGATGCTGCAATGGTCGTAAGTGTGGAAAAAACGGTCATGTTATCGCAGCCCCAGCACATGACTCGTCAGGGTTCCGCTCCGCTGTGCCCACCACTGGTCAACTGAGTTGAGCTGCTGCCACCGCTAGGGAATGCTGGAGCCTTGGCTGCCAAGCAGCTGATTGGCGGTTGGATCGGCCTCCCCTATCACCGCCGCCGCTGTTTGCTGCCGTTGCCGATTGCCGTTGCCGCTGCCGTCAATCAGTGATGGCGATTGGCGGTGGCGGCAATCCCTACCACCTAGAACAGCTGATCGGCGGTATTCCGGGAGGCAGATCCAACCACTGATCAGCTGCTCGGCAGCAAATGCTCCAGCGTTCCCCAGCCGCCACTGCACCAACTCCCCTCCGCCCTCCCACCGCAATTTTCGCTCTATAAGAAGCACAGACATTTCCACCCACTTTTTTGGGGGGGGACGTGCGTATTATAGTGTGAAAAATACAGTATTTGTCTTGTGGGTGACTGAGTCTGTAAGGAGAAGCCAATGAGTTCAAATCCTGCTTATCCAATGAAGCTGTGCCGGCGTGCGTACGCCTGCCACTCACACGTCCCCCCACCTCCACCCCGGGCACCAGGCTGGGCCACCAGAGTGGAAATGTTGGGGATCATTTATAAGATTGGTGTTTTAAATATCATATCTGCAACACTCTCTACATGGGGCTCCCCCTGGGGTGCACCCGGAGGCTCCAGGTGGTCCAGAATGCGGCCGCGCGGGGGATTATGGGAGCGACAGGGCGCTCCCATGTGACACCCCTCCTGCGCGAGCTGCACTGGCTCCCGGTGGTCTTCCTGGTGCGCTTCAAGGTGTTGGTGACCACCTTTAAAGCGCTCCATGCTTAGGGCCGGGGTATTTACGACACTGCCTTCTGCCACCAATTGCGTCCCACCAGCCAGTACCCTCGCACAGAGTGGGCCTCCTCAGGGTGCCGTCCGCCAGACAGTGTCGGCTGGCGACCCCCAGGGGGAAAGCCTTCTCTGTGGCGGCGCCCACCCTCTAGAACAACCTCCCCCCAGAGATACATACAATAACAGACCTCCGGATTTTTCGTCGGGCCCTGAAAACTTATTTATTTCAACTAGCTGGGCTGGCTTGATCCCACAGTTTTGAGTTAAATTTTAATTGATTTTAAATTGGGTTGTTTTAAATTACGGCCCAAAAAAATTTAATCATTTTAAACTGCTTTTAAATTTTGTATGTTCTGTTTTTATTTCGGCTGTTCACCGCCCTGAGTCCTATTGGAGAAGGGCGGTATATAAATGGAAACAAATAAATAAATAAATAAAATATCGATATACCGCTTAGCTGGGAGGCTGCATTATAGAAAAGAATTCCATTTTATTCTCCAGAAAGGCAGCACAAGGTATGACACCCTCTGACCCACTGAGATTAGGAGAGTTAATTTCAGTTGATGCACTTCTGGAAGGTAGAGGGGTGCACTGGGAACTACCAAGCCACTACCCCTACCTCCTAAAATAGGAAACGGGTGCGAAGAGATTTTTTGGGGAGTGGGCGGGGCAGACACAAGTCCTCCAGCCTTTTGCAGCTGAGCCATTCAGTTACAGTGGTTTTACTAGTTCCTGTAATTTTATATGAGACTTTTGAAAAGAGAAATGAATCAGTGAGATTTTTCACGTCAGCTGTAGTAGTTACGCTTCGGGGATTACGGAGACTTCTCCTTTTCTTGTTTAAACTGTCTCATTCCTACACCTGGAACAATTGCCCGTAAACATCTTTAACCATTTCCAGAAGGCCTGGTATCATAACAGGTTTTGGGGGTTGGTTTTTTTTTTTTTTTGGCTCGGATGTGATTTAAAGAAAACGCAGGGGCTGCAATCTCTATATTTGGTGTTTGCAAAAGTGAGGAATGCATTGTTCTTTGGGGGTAACTTCAGTGGTGAAATGCTCCCGGTTCGGACCGGATCGCCTGATCCGGTAGCGATGGAGGCGGGTGGTTCGGAGAACCGGTAGCAAAAATCCCTGCCCCCCTCCCAATTGCCCAGCTGAGCCGCGCGATCATCAGAGGTTTTTTTTTAATTTTTAAAAGCATTTTTTCTACAACCTTTTGGCCGAAAAAATTCTTTTAAAAGTAAAAAAAAAAAAAAAAGAAAGCCTCTGATGATTGTGCGGCTCAGCTGGGATCCTCAGAGGCTTTTAAAAGCATTTTTTCTACAACCTCTTTGACTGAAGAGGTTATAGAACCGCCCTGAGTCCCGCAGGAGAAGGGCGGTATAGAAATATAATAAAATAAATAAATAAATAAATAAATAAATAAATAAATAAATAAATAAATAAATAGAAAAAATGTTTTTAAAAGGAAAAAAAGCCTCTGCTGATCAGGCAAGTCAGCTGGAATTGTCAGAGGCTTTAAAAGCATTTTTTTTACAACCTTTTCAGCCGAAAAAATGGTTTTAAAAGTAAAAAAAAAAAGTTGGCCACACCCACTCAGTCATATTATAAACCCCCCCCCAAGCCACGCCTACAGAACCGGTAGTAACAAATTTTACATTTCACCACTGAGTAACTTGTATATTTGTGGAGGGTCCTTCTCAATTTTTATGCCCTTTTTCCACATGCAGAAAAAAAAAAAAAAACACCCCAGAAGATAGAAACAGGCGTAAATCACACAAAATAAAAAGAAAAAAAAAATGTCTTTCGATCTTATTAGCATTTCTGAGATAGCAAAATAAAAGTTCACACAACGGAAATTGGGGCGACTGTAGGGATTACATGTTCCGAGAGCTGCTGCGGCCAACGAGAGTCCTTATGATTTAATCTTTCAACCACCACTGATGATGTTACCCATTCAGGGAATGAAACGTCTTGCAAGAAAACAACCAAGCTCAGTGAGCACCAAGGATTCCTCCTTTCAACCCTGAGCTACAAATATTCTCCTTTATTGGTATTTATTCTTTCCCCCCCCTAGCAATTCTCCTGTCTTGTCTTTTTATCATTATGCTAATCCACAATTAACTCAAGTGACATCGATAGAATGAAAAAAAAACCTGTATTTTTCTATGAAAATTGCTGGGAGGCTCACATTGATGTGTTTTTCCAACACAACATTGGCAGTCTCTTGAGTAACTGTTACTGTACATTACTATACAGCTAGTCCTCGACTTAACACCACGATTGAGCCCAAACTTTCTGCTATTAAATGAGACATTTGTTAAGTGCCCTTTGCCCCATTTTGCGACCTTCCTTGTCACTGTTGTTAAGTGGATCATTGCAGCGATTACTAATACGGTTGTTAAGTGAATCTGGCTTCCCCATGGAGGTCGCAAAAGGGAGATCACGTCAGTGGTGAAATGTAAAATTTGTTACTACCGGTTCTGTGGGCGTGGCTTGGTATGGGGGGGGTAATATGACTGAGTGGGCATGGCCAACTTTTTTTTTTTTTTTTTTACTTTTAAAACCATTTTTTCTACAACCTCTTCGGCTGAAGAGGTTGTTAAAAAAATGCTTTTAAAGCCTCTGACGATCCCAGCTGACTTGCCTGATTGGCAGAGGCTTTCTTTTTTTTTTTTAAAGCCTCTGACAATCCCAGCTGAGCCGCGCGATCATCAGAGGCTTCTTTTTTTTACCTTTAAAAGCATTTTTTCGGCCAAAGAGGTTGTAGAAAAAATGCTTTTAAAAACTAAAAAAAAAAAGCCTCTGATGATTGCGTGGCTCAGCTGGGCAATGGGGGGGCCAGGGATTTTTGTTACCGGTTCTCCGAACCGCCCGCCTCCATCGCTACCGGATCAGGTGATCCAGTCCAAACCGGGAGCATTTCACCTCTGGATCATGTGATCCCGGGACAACAGCAAGTGTCATAAATATGAACCCGTTGCCAAGCGTCCGAATTTTGATCACGTGACCATGGGGTTGCTGCAGAGGTCGTAAGTGTGAAAAATGGTCATAAGTGTTTTATTTTTACAGTGCTGTAACTAAATGTTGTAAATTGAGGATTACCTGTATTTGTCTTCTTGAGGATAACCGAGTCCAGAAGAGGGAGCTCATGAGCTCAAATCCTACTTATCCATGTGTTATTTCAACTTTGCAACCTATTTTTTTTAAAGCCTTGCTCCTTACCTTAATGATGGGGTGACATGGTGGCCTAAAGGCGGAGCTCTCTCCTCACAATCATGAGGCCGTGAGTTCGATCCTAGGTAGCGGCAGACATTTCTCTCTCTGGATACAAAAGAGTTGATCGTCTGCTGCGAATGCCACCAGTAAATGCTCCGCTCCTATCAGTCCCTATCCCGAAGCAACGGGGCCCACCATCTCCGACCTGAATATAGTCACAAGTGCGTGTCTTGCTCTGATTTCATTTCAGCTTGCTAAATCCCAAGAGCACCATTGGGATTCTGCGTGACGTCGGTATCAAGAATCGGAATGTAATAAACGCAAGGAGCTCTCTAGATAGAGTTTGCTAATGCAGCCATATGGCTTTCCATCAGCTTAAATTTATGTTAATATTGCCCTCTTTTGTTTAAAAACAAAGCACACACACATACCGCAAGGTACAAGTCTGTTTATGGACTCATTAGAAGCAATAAAAGGTCCTAGGGACATCATAAACACATCCATACAGGGTTTTCTTGTTTTCTTTTAACAACAGAGAATTCGTTTGTGTGCTCTCTATTATTATTATTATTATTTTTTGAAAGGCTCTCTTTGCTTAGCAGAATATTTTTCTTTTTAACCGCAGGATAGCTACCCTCGCTCTCCCATCTGTCTCACATACACTGCACATGTGTAAAGCACTTTGGGGTGCTTTAGGAATGGACTGGGCGAGGAATAGGCAACCTTAAACACTCAAAAGAGCCACAAATGTCCTAACCGGAAGCTCCCCGTTCAATTCTGGAGCCGACCAGAAGTCCGGTTCCCCCACCATAGAGTCTCCTCGTAGCGCAGCATCCTTTTTCTTCTGCCGACCGGAAGTCCAGTTCCCCTACCATAGAGTCTTCTCCTAGCACGGCATCCTTTTTCCTCTACCTGTCCTAACCGAAAGCCCTATCAATTGTGGAGCCGACCGGCGATAGGGAGCCGCAGCAGAGGGATGAAAGAGCCACATGCGGCTCCAGAGCCACGGGTTGCCGACTCCTGGATTGGGCGATAAAAAAATTAAAACAAGCACGGACTGATTGGTGTGTTTGTGTGTCTGTAACTTACGTGTCCTGTTGCTGTTGCAGAATCCCCTCTTGCCCCCAAAAAGGGTTAGGGTTTGTTTACTACCTTTTTTAAAAAATAAAAATAAAAATGTGATAAGCTGTTAGTGCAAGACGGAAGAATGGAGGAGAGGTGCTTTCCGTTGCTTTGCAAAAGCAGTGCAATATCTGATTCAATTTAAAACTCAGGCTTTGCATATCTCATCATGATTCAGGAACCAGATACTGTAAAATGGATATCTATTACAGCTGCATTCAGTTTACTTAGAGAGGGTTTGGACCACAGAGATACAATTATTGTGGGTTTTTTTAACTTCGGAGGGCTACTGAGTGTTGTATGGACACAACATTCATAGCAAAAAAATTTTCTGGAAGTTAGAATTTTTGTAAAGGCAAACGAGGTGTGTTAAGGCGAGTCTTCATTGTGTAAGCAGTCTTAGACTTATGATTGCAGTTGAGCCCAAAATTTCTATCGATAAGCGAGACAATTGTTAAAAGTGAGTTTTGACCCATTTTACGACCTTTCTTGCAACGGTTGTTAAGCGAATCACTGCAGTTGTTAAGTCAGTAACACAGCTGTAAAATGAGTCTGGCCTCCCCATTGACTTTGCTTGTCAGACGGTCGCAAAATGCGATCACGGGACCCTGCAACCGTCATAAGTAAAAGTCAGTTGCCAAGCAGTCCAGTTTTGATCACGTGATGTGATGCTGCAATGGTCCTAAGTGTGGAAAAATGATCATAATTTACTTTTTTCCCTTTTGGTCACTAAACAAATGGTTGTAAGTTGAGGACCAGCTATATGGCTGAAAACTGAATAAAGCAGTGCCAGGACACAAGAAATGGTTATTCTATGTGTAGCTCCTATTTTGCCCTAGGACGGAATCAGTGTGAAGAGTTTTAAGAAATACATATAATGATATTATTATCAGTCTTCCTAAAGTTTCCAATTATAGTAGCAATAAACTTGCATAGTTACAGAGGGCAATTTATGTCGGCTTTCAGCTTTATTGGCCAATGTCAGATTTTGTTGTGGTCCGCCAGCAGCCTGCGGAGCTGGCAGCGGAGTTGGACAGTGAGGAGGCTGGGGAGGAACATGGGCCTGTCCTGGGAGTCTGGGGAAGTCCAGGAAAAGGGCTCTGCATCGGAGGCAGAGATGGGGCCAGGGCCATCTGGGAGTGATGCGCGGACTCTGAAGCCTCCAGAGTCGGACAGCAGAGAGCCAGAGGAACAGGAGGAGCCTGTTCCTAGTACGCACATGCGCAGAGCTGCCAGAAGGCACAAACAGTTAAAACTAAAGGGACCACTCTGGAGTAAGGCCTGGGGATGATTGGCTCCTCCCATAAGTCTTAAAAAGAGGAGCAAAGGCACATGGGCCCTTTGCAGGAAAGCAACATTGTTAATTCTGTTCCCAGTCGGCATCTTTTTTTGATTCTAGACTCCGTGTGGCTTTGCCAAGTAGGCCATTGGCAGAGTGTCAAGGGAGATAAAGGTTGGTGATTATCCCGAAGGACTTTTTGCAGCTAATTGGGACTCAGCTGTGAATGAACGTAATTCACAGCTGTTGCAATAAAAGAGGTTTTGGGGACTACTTGTGTGTTTTAATGACTCAGGAAGCCTAGGTCACAAAAGATTTCTCTGAAAGTTGTCACTGGCTCTGCTATGAATCGTGAGAAATTCTGATGAATATCTACATTTCTGTGAGTGGCCTACAGTTCGTAGGAGCTTATGGAATCAGATGCACCAGCAGTGTTTTACAGACTTATCACTATGGACAGCAGAAATGGTTTTCTTATCAATGACATTTCATTCTCTGGTGTAATTTAATATTTGGGAATTGTCCAACAAGCTGGTGAAATGTAATTAAACTTGTATTATTGTCTTAATTTCAGTTACGGCAATCTCAGTCCTACTGCACGGATACAGAATGTCTTCAGGAATGTAAGTAATTGGAAGGCAAGAATCGTTACTGTGAATAGGTGGTTACAATGCGAAACATGGCGATTGAGGAACAAATACATTACACAAGCCAGTGTAGATAAGCCAAAACGAGTTAAATCTTTTATCTGCACATGCTGCCTTTTATCTTGCCTCTGTTCCGATTAAGACAGGCATTCTCTTGTTATGATTAATCGAACTGGGGAAAAAAATTAATATGTTAACATTAAGCAAAGATTTGAAACTGGATTTGTTTCTTGCTTGGTTCCAAGATAACACAACCTTTACCAGTTGCTATTATAAACCATAATAATCAATTATGATTATTGTGTTAATAAATTATGGCCCAAATTGTCTCCTTGTTGTTTGCCTCTGACTCATCCTTCTGTAATTCCTTTGCTCCCTAATGGATAGGTTTGAAAATCATCCTAGTCTGCCACAGAAGTTAACACAGGCAGATCAGTCTATCTGTCTATCTCTCTGTCTCTCTCTCATTCTCTGTCTCTTTATCTCTCTCTGTCTTATTCTCTCTCTCATTCTCTCTTTTATTTTCTCTCTCTCATTCTCTCTCTCTCTCATACTCTCTCTCTTTCTCCCATATGTTAGCAACTCCTGAATTATTCATGTTCCAACCTTCTCCCACCCCAAATAAAATTGGAAACTCTTATCATACCAAGAAGTATAAAGAATGCGAGAAGACATTCCAGAGTAGGACTGGTACTACTACTACTACTACTACTACTACTACTAATACTAATACTAATACTAATACTAATAATAATACTAATAATAATAATAATAATAATAATAATAATAATTTTATTTCTATACCGCCCTTCTCCCGAAGGACTCAGGGCTGTGTACAGCCTATTAAAAACACAAAAATATACAGACATCAATTAAAAAATAATTAAAATTATTAAATAATTTCGGCCCAAATTAAAACCCAAAAATTTAAAACACCCAATTTAAAATCATTTACATTGATAGCCCGGCCTGACGGAACAGCAGGGTCTTGAGGGCACAGCGAAATACACGGAGGTCGGAGATCTTGCGCAATTCCGGGGGCAGTTCATTCCACAGGGCAGGAGCTCCCATAGAGAAGGCCCTCCCCCTTGGCCGATGGCACCCTGAGGAGACCCTCTCTGTGGGAGCGGACTGGCCGGTGGGAGGCTACTGGTGGCAGAAGTCGGTCTCAAAGGTACCCGGGTCCTAAGCCATGGAGCGCTTTAAAGGTGGTGACCAACACCTTGAATCGCACCCGGAAGACCACTGGGAGCCAGTGCAGCTCGCGCAGGAGGGGTGTCACGTGGGCACAACGAGTCGCGCCCATAACCCATAATAAAATAGATTTATTAGATGCATGTGATCCCACATTTAGGCCTTTAAATAAAATTTGATAGTCGGGAAAGTTACTCCCAGAAACCTGATTTTTTTTAGTTCCATAATCTAACGCGCTCTCCTCCTATAAGTTCAGGCACATCACAAATATGAACAATGTGCTACAGACATACGAACAGTAATGATAATTATTCCTTATTTTGTTGTCGCATACATGCCTTCCTATTTCTGCATCAGATGTTTAGCATATTTAAGAGCTGGGAGGAAAAGACCCTGCTATTCAAATACTGTTATTTCCTGCTATGACTTTCTTTTTTTTTTCCTCCCCCATGAAGCATGCCACTAACTAATACCTTTGCTCGGTAAAGCTGAATGCCTCATTCATACTTTTGACAAATGGCCTTTTCATTAAGAGAGCTGTCATGCAGGATATGCCTGCTTTGGGATATGCAAGTAGCTATGAGGTCTGCGGTTGACTTTTTGCATTCAGAAGGAAGCCTTGAATGCTTAAAACTTTGGCGCCCCGTTTTTTTTAAAATATGTATATATGTCATTTCTGGTATTCAGTTTTGTTTGTTTTTGCTGCACTGCTTATCCAAAGGTTGGTGTTGATTACTAAGGAGGCAGTTTTCAGCAGCCCATTTCTGTGGCTAATAACCGACAAAGCAGTCTTATCATTTTGTAGTACTATCTATATTTTGTTTAATAATGTAGCCGTATCAGCATATTAAAGTAGGGCTGACATTTGTGGAGTGTGGAAGAGAACACTGCATAGTCCGGTCTTTTTTCAAAGCACATTGATAAATCCTCACTTCAGTTATAAATTAGTATTTGTTTTAATGCTATATATGGCAATCTCTTCCAACAGTAATTTTTAACACCATCAATCTAATTAAATTAAAGGGTTTTTCTTTAGGGAGGTAGCATAGTTGCAGTTTTAATCAATTTAATAGATTAATTTAGTTGATCAGCTATTAGGAAGATTTAAGAATAAGTTGGCTTGTTTTTAAGCCATTTATGATACTTACGGTAAGATACATAATTAAAAAAAACACTATAACTTTAAATAATTTCTTTTATTTGGGCATCACATCCTATTAAGCATCTCATCCACAGGACAAAAATACAATTTGAGGCCGCTGATTTGAGATGCCATGAAGGTTGGCCATGATGCTGGAATTAAGAAAAAGTCGTCTTGTTTGCACATCAATCTAAGAAGTTTTATTGACTAGCTAGCTAGCTCAGCTTTCTGATCACTTCCAGATGCATTGGGATCGCAGCTGTCATTTACAACCATAGTTCGCGAAGATGGAACTAGCTACCTCAGTGTTTCTCAACCTTGGAAGCTTGAAGATGGGTGGACTTCAGCAGCGCTGGCTGGGGGATTCTGGGAGTTGAAGTCCACCCATCTTCAAGCTTCCAAGGTTGAGAAACACTGAGGTAGCAGAAGGAAAGCATGGAAGGAAGAGAAAACAGGGCCCTGCAAAATTTGCCAGATGGGATTGAAGGTTCTTCAAGATTGACAGATATTCAGTTGCAAGTCAACAGAGGGGAAGTGGGAAAGCAGCCTGCTGCTTGTGGTTCACACCCAAATAGTGATTAATCTCAGTCTGAGTTTGGATTGTGACTAAGATTCATGTGATCTTAATCCTGGCAGTAAACCTATAAAAATTATCAAGAGACGGGTTGGGGGTTTTAATCTGTTCCTTTCGGCATGAAGAATGAAGTCAGAGTTACTTCAAGGAAAGGATCCAGCAATAAAATAAAATCAAGAGTTGAAAAAAACCCACGTAGGATATCATGTCAGATATTGTATTTATCGCGTCGGGTGTTATATTTATGTATTTATGTTACACTCCGGTCATATCCCTCAGGAATATCCACAGTTAAAGTATACTTTTTGATGTGCAAAGGACCTATAGAATTTTTGATAGTTGAACAAAAAAGATTTATGGGGAGCTGGCAAGATTCCCCTCTGCTCTCAGGATTATGCGAGATTAAAGACAAAAACACGTTGTGATGTACTTCTTTCAGTTGTTCTTTTAATAGGAGAATAAATAATAGCAGAGAAAGACAGAGAAGTCATGAATTAATGACAGATGGAAGACTCAAAATGGTTATGTCAGTCCCCTTTCAATTCTTCAGAGCAGCGTTTTTCAATCTTGGCAAGTTTGAGATGGGTGGACTTCAACGCCCAAAATTTCCCAGCCAGGAGACTGTTATTAAGGCCAGCTGGAATGTTGGACGTAATGTCTGTCCTGACATTAAATGCATTGCTAAGGTTACACTCCAAATTTGTGCATTTGTGTGTGTGTGTGTCATTCTTTGTTGTTGGCTGTCAGAGAAACCAAACACTGCCTTTTGCAACTTCGTTGTTTCTTAGCATGAAAAATTAAATCTAGCTCAGCAATATATATATATATATTTACTTCTGGTGAAATCTTTAGCACACTTACTCTGAAGTAAATTCCTTTTTGTTTTGGAGCTGATTAAGTGCACATATCAAACAGCAGTCGAGGAAATGTTTCCTCTCTCTCAGGATTTATTTCTTGTCAGTTATGCCGGTTGGATCCTCAGACTTTTGTCCTAGGGCAGGGGTCTCCAAACCTTGACCACTTTAAGACTTGTGGACTTCAACTCCCAGAATCCCTCAGCCAGCATGCCTCTTTCGCCTTCACATCAGACCGACAGAATATATAATCCAGAATGCGCTTTTCTGTTGACTTGTGGCTGATAACAGTTGGGACTATTCCATGGTTATGCCTGTCAAGCACAGAATCCTGATTATTAGGCAGTTGTTGTTAGTTGCAAAGTCATGTCCAACCCATCGCGACTCCATGGACCACGTTCCTCCAGGCCTTCCTGTCCTCTACTATTCTCTTGAGTCCATTTGAGCTCACGCCGACTGCTTCAGTGACTCCATCCAGCCACCTCGTTCTCTGCCGTCCCCTTCTTCTTTTGCCCTCCATCGTTCCCAGCATTAGGCTCTTCTCCAGGGAGTCCTTCCTTCTCATCAGGTGGCCAAAGTATTTGAGTTTCATCTTCAGGATCTGGCCTTCTAAAGAACAGTCAGGGTTGATCTCCTCTAGAACTGACCGGTTGGATGGCCTTGCAGTCCAAGGGACTCGCAGGAGTCTTCTCCAGCACCAGAGTTCAAAAGACCTCCATTCTTTGGCCTTCTCAGCCTTCCTTATGGTCCAACTTTCACAGCCATCCATTGCAACTGGGAATACCATCGCCTTGACTATACGCACTTTTGTTGGCAGGGTGATGTCTCTGCTTTTTAGCATGCTGTCTAGATTTGCCACAGCTTTCCTCCCCAGGAGCCAGCGTCTTTTAATTTCTTGGCTGCAGTCCCCATCTGCGGTGATCTTAGAGCTCAGGAAAACAAAATCTGTCACTACCTCCATTTCTTCCCCATCGATTTGCCAGGAATTGAGAGGGCCGGATGCCATGATCTTAGGCAGTAGGGGCATGAATTCTTTTAGGACGAGGAGTTAAGTTGTCCAGTTGCTGATGGTTCAATTCCCTTCCACCTGTCAACACCGCAAGAAGTCTAGGCAAGAACCTGGCACCATATCAAATACTCTTGTCGGATTCACAATTCTGCTCTATCCCAAACTAAGTTTCCCGGCTGATTACCAGTAATTTGGTTGACGGGTCTGAAGTTAATTCTGCCCTCTCTTTCCTTTGTGTTGTCCTTCTCTTTTTAGTGCCGGGACCAAATCCATCCGCTGAGAACGACATCAGTGTCACCATGATTATGGTGGGCTGGCTGGTTGTAGCACTGGTCTTGTTCTTGATGAGACCCATCAGCTTACGGAGATCGATTACTTCTGAAAAGCCATCAAACCCGCATAACGTGAGTCTGTTTCTTGGTGCATTTATTTTCTTTGGTTGGGTAATAACGTGGGTGCTTCATCACAGGTGGTTTTTAAGAAGAGACTGGACAGTCCCTTGTCTGAAATAATATAGGTCAGTGATGGCTAACCTTTTTGCCATCGCGTCCCAAAAGCGGGGGGAACAGGGGGGGGCGCACGCACGCATGCCCACACCCATAATTGAATGCGCCCCGAACCCCTAGGGTCCCCCGCTTTTGGCACGCGATGGTACGGTGGCCCCTGTAAGCCTGTGTTTTGCCCTCCCCAGGCTCCAGAGGCTTTTTTGGAGTCTGGGGAGGACGAAAACAGCCTTCCCCACCCCTGCAGAGGCCTTCCGGAAGCCGGAAATGGCCCGTTTGTTGACTTCCGGTGGGCCCGGAAGGCCTGAAAATCAGCTGGCGGAGCTGAGCTCGCGTGCCCACTGATACGGCTCTGCGTGCCACCGGTTTGCCATCACGGGTATAAGTTCTTCTGCCTGAGCAGGGGGCTGGACTAGAAGACCTCCAAGGTCCCTTCCAGCTCTATTCTATTCTTCTAAATTCTGAATAACAGAACGAGAAGGAAATGTACAATACAAGGGGGGGGGGAAACTATATAATCCGCTTGTCCTGAGTCAGCCTGTACTAACTACACTGGTTCAATACAGGTAGTCCTCGATTTACAACAGTTCATTTAGTGACCGTTCAGAGTTACAACGGCACTGGAAAAAAAAGGGACTTAAGACCATTTTTCACACTTAACGACCTTTGCAGCATCCCCACGAACGTGTGATCAAAAATTCAGAGGCTCGGCAACGGGTTCATACTTACGACCATTGCAGCGTCCCGGGGCCACATCATCCCCTTTTGCGACCTTCCGGCAAGCACGGGGAAGCCAGAGTCACTTAACAACCAGGCCACTGACTTACCAGCTGCAGTGATTCACTTAACAACGGTGGCAAGAAATGTCGTAAAATGGGGCAAAACTCACTTGAACAAATGTCTCACTCAGCAACAGAAATTTTGGCCTCAATTGTTGTGAAGTCGAGGGCTACCTGTAAGACTTCTTTTCCAGGATGTTGTAATAATTGCATTGCTGTTTAGTAAAACCATTCAAGTTAAAATCGTATCTGTCTTAGAGAATTTTGTCACCAGGGCTTGGGAAGAGCCCAGGAATTTTAAGAAAGGGTGTGAATAATCCTTTCAGCCTATCGGTGATAACATGGTTAACATAACGGATTAGGCTAAGATTCTAAATAATTGCATTCCATTCATTCTCTTGAAAGCTCCTTGCTTGCTACTTGGATTTCCCAGGAGGTTTTTTTTTCCCCCTAATCTAAACAGCTCTTCATTTTCCCTTCCTCATTTACCTTTTAATACTTCCTTCTCTTGGACCAGGGGTCAGCAACCTGCAGCTCTGGAGCCGCATGTGGCTCTTTCACCCCTCTGCTGCGGCTCCTTGTCACTCAAAATATGTGTCACAACTGGCAATGTGTGACACCCACCGACATGCAATTTATTGAGCTTTTCAACCTCGGGTAGGCCAACCATGGATAAATCCAAGAAAAGAAAAGTTTCAGAAGAAATCAGAAAATTTAATTCAACTACATATGCTAGTTTTGCGGCTGCTCAAGAAATAGTCAAGGTTTTGTGGCTCCCGGTGTTTTCTTTTCTGTGGGAAACGGGTCCAAATGGCTCTTTGAGCGTTTAAGGTTGCAGACCCGTCTTGGACTGTATTCTTTGCTTCTTTTGCTCTGTCTTCGCACGCCACACAATCTGTCTCCTCTCCTTTTGGCAGCAGTCATTCTACACACATCACACAACTGCTTCTTGCTTCATCGTTTTAGCAAGCACTTTCTTTCATACTTCCCATCGGTGTAAGTCCACGTACTTCTTTGGCACTACTATAAGATTCTTTCCCTTTTGTTCCAGGTAAGCCTCCATCTCCCCATTTTGTTTTATTGACTTTCTGGTCCAGAGGTATCCAACCTTTAAAATTGTGGACTTCAATTCCCAGAATTCCCCAGGCAGCATGGATTGGCTGGGGAATTCTGTGGATTGATGTTCACAGATCTTAAAAAATTGCCACATCCCTTTTCTAATCACTCACTGGGAAATAATTATTTTTTTCATACAGTAATTTTTTTTTCTTCTATTTTCACTTGTTTCTTCTATCCTGCTCTTTCTTGTGCATTTATTCCAAAGATCATCCATTGCTTGTTTTACGTTCACAATTTCTCACCATCACCTAGTTCTCTGCTTTTAGATTGATATTCTTCCCTTTGCCACTCATATGTATGAATAGACCTATTCTTAAACCATGCATTCAAGACCAAGTTCTAATCCCGCCGCAGCCTGCTGGGTGACTCAATTGTGTTGTAAATTGAAGATTACCTATAATTTCTTTTATTCCCCCAAATAAAAATTTGTAAAGAGGTATGAGGATCTTTAAGTAGACAACCCCTTCTTTTTCGCAACATTCAAGAAACTTCTAATTCAAGATATTTTCAACACACAGGGACAAGAACCACCAGCTCCAGCTGTGGACTGAAGTTTCCTGGAAAAACTCAACAAGTTTAATCTTCAGTGACCAAAAGAAAAGATCACAGCATTCCTTATCATTGTACAGTAGGGTCCTGTTCTGTACATAGAATATCCATTTTCTTTTTCTATTTCTTAAATGACATTTAAATGGATTAACGTGGTGGGAAGTAACAGCATTTCATTGATGAGCGTTGAACTTATGTCCACTGCAATATTTAAATTTTTTTTTTTTAAATCTCTCTATTGATAATCAGTTGATCTTGTTCAGACTAGTGGGTTTTCTCTTCCTATCTATTTAGAGATTAAAAATTACAGTAAATTCCTCTGTGATCTTTCTACACCCCTTTTGTGGGAGAAATCCGCAAAAATTTCCAGTGTGGCCATTTTCAAAAAGTTCATATACCACAGCCTTCTCTAATTAGTGCCTTTCGCATATGCTGAATATTATGTCGCGTTCCTAGCTGGCAGAGTCAACAATTCTAGATGACATCAGATTACGAAAGCTGATGTAAACTAGTTATAGTTTTATCAATGAAACGTTTTATTTGGGGGGAGGGAGAAGAGAGGGAGGAAGGAATAAAGGAAGGAAGGAAGAAAGGAAGGAGAAGGGAGGGAGGAAGGGGAAGGGAGGGAGTGGAAAGAAGGAAGATAAGTTAACAAATAAAGCCTGAATAATTAAAATTTACATTGAAAATTAGTCCCACTCTTATACAACAATTTTCCTGCAGACTTGGGTTTGTGATTTCTATTTAGAAGAAACCTCAAGTCAAAAGAAAGAACCACAGCATAATGCGTGGCCTCCTTCACTGCAATTGTTTAAAAGCTTCTACGGTCAAAAGTAACTTCTGGATTGCATTAGATTAACACATTTTTTAACATGTTATTCAAATGTTGATGGAACATTGACACAACCAAACACTTTGCATCATGTGGCCACAGCACAGAATTTGCCAAAACTGCAAATTTTGAGCGGTCTGCCTGTTAGAAATAAGAAGCAAAATTGGCATGTTAAACTTCTATGAAGCTCGACCTGTCGATGCTACCCCTTTCCTAAAAATGATCAAAACCAGGGAAGTCCAACCTTGGCAATTTTAAAACGTGTGACCTTCGACTCTCAGAATTCTGGGAGTTGACGTCTACAGGTAGTTGAAGTCCACCGAGATAACTTCATGTCTTCTAGTTATAAAAAAAAGGACAACCCACTCTTGCAGCATGGTAAATTACGGCGTTAAAATAGCTACTACTACAACCTTAAGATCAGTTTTTAAAAACAAACATTGAATTATTCCATTCCGGGAAAGTTCACTTGAAATTAAATTACGACATTCCTGGAATGTGTGTGGGTTAAGATTTACTTGTGCAAGCGACATTTTGGTGCTTTTCTAATATTTTCCACATCTATGAATGAGTGTTAACCTAGGTTTGCAGAGAAATTTCATACTGAAAAACTCTGTTCTTTTAATGAATGGAAATCAACAAGAATGTCTGCCAATTGCCAACAGTTTGCCCATTAAAAAAAAAAAAGGTTTGCTTGAGCAATTGCCATTTTTTAAATTAAATGTTCTACGTATGTTACCAATCATTTCAGCTACGTAGGAGTCCCCAAAATACAAGGAGCAAAAATTTAACCCCCATTTGTGAGCGTACTTGTGATTTTGGGAAGAGAATGTATAGAGTTTGTTTTTCTGTTTTTTTTTTTGCAAACACTTTATACAAATCGAAGGTTATTTCCCACAATTAAAGTTTATCACCTGCATCATGAAGCAACAGAAGGGACATAAATAACAGTCTGGGAATACAGAATCACCTACAGATTCGGAGTTTTCTGGGTGCTGAGCCATTTAAAATGCTTCATGCTTGGTTGTTCAAGCTAACCAGGATGCCAACCGGTTACAAAATCCCCTCTCCCCACAGAGTTCAAAAATCACAGTTCTATCTGTAGCCTTAACTTGGTTCAAACTGTAACTCTGTTCACTACAGAACGTGCGAGCTGTAACGTGGCTTGAAGGCTGACACCGTTGTTTAGCTTTTTCAGACTGGCCCTTTGGTGAGATAATGTGCCCAACAGCCAAGGAACACAATTTCCTTGTGGAAATTTACGTTTTTGTACATTAAGGTAGCCTTCCTGCTGCATTTTTTAAAATCCTTGACTTACTATCAAGGACAGAGCCAGGTGAATACGCTTCCAAAGTTATACAAAAGTTCTGCATTTTAAAAAGTTTCAAGACCGTCATGCAGCCAAATCCTGAGTTTAGTCTGTGGATCTGCTCAGCGAGAGCAACATGCTAAGTAAGTATGCCTAACATTGCATCTTTAATGCCATGAGGAATCCTGGCGGTTTTTCTTGGCCGTTTTCAAAAACACACCCAAGAGTTTTCTCCAACCTGCCAACTTCATTTTAAGAAGCCTACGGTGCTTTTTTTTAAAAATGTATTTATTGGGCCTTAAAATTTAAAAACAAAAACAAGAAGAGTCATCCACATGCTCATTAGAGAAGATCATTTCAATCTCTCTTGTTGGATCCAAATAGTTTAGGAGGGTGGACTGGAAATCCGAGCATCCTATCGTCTCATTCATCCTTAGCCCCAGAAATTCACTCATGACTTTGGACTCAACTTATTCCAGCAAGGTGTGACTGTGAAACAAACTGGAAGAGATAGACCTCTTTACATTACCTTTAATCGTTAGAGGAGAGCCACAAATACCAGTCTTAACAAATATAATAAGGTTGTTGGACATCATTTTTCCATTCCATTTCATTCCACCACCCCCTGGCAAAAAATATTGTAGGGAAACTTGGTGAAGGCAGTGAGTTATTGAGAGACCTGTTGCTTGCAAACTGGAAGGTGTAAGTAACAGACAGGTAGAATTTGCTATCCGAGTTACTTTTGACCCTCCCCGAGTCTGAAATCCAATTCTTATTGGATTTGAAGGAAGGGAAATGTATTTCAACCAATCCTGTAACTAAACCTAATTCATTAATCTGCTACAAGGATTAAGGACATATGCTTTAAAGGTTTCTCAGTTTTTACACATCTTGGCAAGCTTGAGTAACAGATCCATCCATCGATAATTGCAATTGGTCAATTTATTTCAAGGAAGAAATCTACTGTTTGTGTTTAATACCAACGTGGGAACAACTTAGTCTATCTGTCCCAACATTTGTTCATAAAATGCTGTTTTTAGATTTCAGAAATCCATTCTTTTGCCAGGGAACAGCATTAAAGAATTCTTGGGGAATTGCTTTTAAGAATTATAGCACTGTGCTTGGGGCATTTCATGATTCCTCCTAAGATAGCATTTGAGAACCTTTCTATATTTCATTTTTAACAAATGGTGTCTGTTTTGCTTTTCACGCAAGTTTGTTCATCTTTACCAACCGTGTGAAATGCACTTTTCTAAGATTGGCTCTAAAAATTTGAAGCAGTTATGAGTCTTGGGGATGAATGGCAATGGTTTAGTTTTATTTTTTTTTCTCAAGAATAATTTGTTGATATAAACATTTGGACAGAGAGAAACTGAAGAAGCAAAATGTGAATTGATATACAGCTTGTTCATTAGCAACTATTGGCCAGTTAGATGCCATCCCAGTTCTCCTTCTAAAATTGGGAGAAATTGAAACAAAACTCTCCGTAGGAAATTCCAGTGCCATTTTATGAAACCAGACCATGAAACAGAGCCGCAAAATAATCTGTTACAGATAACAATAACCTTTGTGTTAAAGGTTTACTACAGGACAAGCCAAATTTACCGCCCATACATTGGTTTTATTGATATCTTTTATTTTTTTCTACTTTTAAGTGAATAAGCTAGACATAATGTGGAAGATTATGATGCCTTGTTTTCAAGACATTAAAAAGCTGGTTTATGGGATGACGGTAGGATTAGCAGAATTGAGAAACCACTCTTACCAACAAGCTCTTCAGGGAGGGGAGGGCATGTGGAGAGATTTTAATTGTGAAAATATCGTGCAGAAAAAGTTTAGAAATTCTTTTTCTGACATTGCAGCTTTCATATAACCTCTGACACCAATTAAACAGGGAAAAAAAAACTGGGAGATCCTAAACATAGTTTTTTCTACTGAGTGAATTTCTACAGCATTTAATGTTTAAAGTTTAGGTGTCGGAATTGACTTTTCACATTCACATATAATCCGCAACAGCTCTTTCTGCCTTAGTTTAGAATAATTCTCGCGGACAAAATGGTTGAGAATACTGTGATGTGTTTCAGTGATTTAAGTTGTCTGAATTATGCCAAACACAAAAGATCTGTGCCATGTTATAATCCTTTACTACAAGATTTGCTGTGAAATAAAGGGCTTATTCTATGCACTTTTTAAAAAAAAAAATATCTCGACAAATAGAACCACTAATAAACTTCTCAAAGTATGGATTTTGTATTTCTCAGTCATTTTGCTCTGCTTTGGTGTCAGGGAAGACTGGTCTCCTTTGCTAATGCGTCACTCCAAAATAGCATGTTCTATCTTGACATGTAGCATTTCCTGAGCCCTTTTGGATTTGTTTACAGTGATTTCAAAGTTTATCTGGTTTTTTTTTATTGAGAGTCAACAGTTGCACAGGTGCGTTGTGTTCAGTGGATGCACATACAGACTCTGCATTTTAAATCGGTACGTTTCCCTCTGATTTTGAAATTCTAATTAAAAGTGTCCTGCACTTTCCTACAGGAAGAAATGTCAGCCTTATTTACATATCTGTGGGGGGAAAAAAAGGCAGGATAAAATATTTCTCTTAAAAGAGAAATTAAAAAAAAAAAACCTTAAGGGAGACAGAAATTCAGAGCCCCAGCCTCCAAGCAGATACTGAGTTGGGGCAGCTTTTAGAAATGCAGATTTGGTAATCCGTTACTCCCTGCAGAAAAGTCTGATTAGCCCTCATCCGAGAACCAACACAGGGCAAAGCCATTAAGCCATAATAGGAATTGTTGCATCACCCTCCAAACTTCAACCAAACGTAACTCAAACACCTAGGATTTGCACTTTGCCTATAGAGCCAGCTACGACCCCTACACGACCCCATGGGAGTCTGACAACAGCTAATAGAAGAAGCTCAAGTGCAAAGCCCAAGAGAAGGTATAAAAAACCTTCCACTCTGAATGTCATGTGGTCAGCTGCCCAGAATCACACGTGCTTGGTGGTTCTGCTTCATTAATAAATGGACCCTCTTGTTCTGTCCCCGTCCCACACACGCACCCACACAGATGGCCCGGAGTTAATAAGCCACACGACAAAGTCTTTGAAGATAAAGCTGACTAGCTGCCAATTCAGACTTTACTCACACAAAACAAAGATTAGACTGCAAGCATTCCGATAAAGCAGGCAAAGTTTCAGCAATACAAGGATTAGTCCAAATGCAGTCCGACAAGGCAGGCAGAAATCTAGTAATGCAGAGATCATGGATTATTTCTAGTTTTTGCTCATCACAAACTGACCCGGCCACCACACCCACATTTATATCCTGTGGGGTGTGGTCCAGTGACTCCGCTAATCTCTGGCACGCCTTCCCCTCTGCTGTGCACGCTTCTCCCTGCGCCGCTGTCGAGGATCCAGCCAGTACTTATCTTCTTCGTCGCTGTCCACCTGTGGCTGCGGGGACGTGCTTGGCTCTGGGCCTATCTCTTGGCCTTCGGTGTCCTCCAGAGGCATTGCCAGAGAGGAGGGTCCTGGAGAGAGAGGCCTTGCCAACTTCTCTCCCTCACTCTCAGAGTCTGCATCTGTCAATAGCCCAGGCTCAGGCAACGGAGCCACAACACCTCTTTCCAATTAGCCTCCAGCCTCCATTTTGTCTCCAGTGCCTTTCTCCTGGCTTGGAACTGAACCAGATGGATTTTCCTTCCAACGTATTGTTGAACTGTCCCAGAAGTATACAGATAAACTGAAGGAGCACCTCTTAGTTCAGAGATAACCAACATGAGCAATTTTAAAACTTGTGAACGTCAACTCCTAGCATTTCCCAGCCATGGATGGATCTTTCTCCTGAAGAACTCCCTACTGAATATTCTGCAAAAGCATTTTTCATGCAGTAGTGAATAACAGTAATTAACAGTCTTCTATTGCCAATGGTGTCATTTAGATTTTTGCACTGAGCAGCAGTTCAAATTTACTGACTCATAGCGACCAGAGTGTGAATTTTAGGAGAGGGGAAATTAACACCAAACGGGGGAAAAACCACATCATAACTCCATCCCTTGGAGATTTTGTATCCGATGCCATATTGTTCCAATCTTAACTTTTGTAACTACTGCATGGTTGGGTTTCGGATAGATTTAATATCCTGCTCTCGAAAATCGCATAAACTTCTCGTCCACGGAGCCCATGAACAAATTGGGATCTACGGTTCTTCATTTTATTTACATGAAATGTATACGCTGACGCTCTCGCCCATCATTAGGCAATTTTCCCCAGTGTCCTCTAGAATATTCTGGTAAAATGGCATCATTTTGGTAAGTTTAAATGGCCAAGAACTTTCCCAATACCCAACCTAAACTTAAAACATCCTTCCCCAAACATTTGCTCCCTGTTAAACCAGCACAATTGAATTGTCAGAAAGGATTAGGCTGTTCTGTAATTTTCTGACATCCAGGCTAGTCTTCATGAGAAAGAGTTTTACAATGTTGGGAGACCACAGATTTCCTTTAAAATCGGCTACTGGTTTCACTATTAAAACATTTAATCGGCAATTATTGCTGGACTATAATGCATTCATGTGCAATTTAGCCTATCGTCAGATCTCAAGCAGCATTATTTGTAGCCGCCTTTTATAGCTTGGGCGACTGCGAATCTGGACGATTGTGGCTTCTTTTGGAAAACTCGGTTTATTAATCCAGAAACTTCCGTCGTCACTTCGTTTGCAAGTCCAGAAAAGGATCTGGTGCCCCTCTACATGATGGAAGAGAAAAACCTGGAGTTGCAAAAGTCACATTTCAAAGTCCCTATTTCCTTACCTGCATGCCATTGATATCATTCATGTCATATCATTAATGTAATTTTCTTGCCCAGTTTATACGGGCTTGAAAGGTTTGCATTAAGACAACCTTTGAATTAGCCATGGTTTATTGAATGAACTCGGTTTACGCCCCTTGCTCGGCTCCGGAGAAGAAGGACCAACAGCTCCTTCAGCTGTTTAAGCCTCGGGGTTTCCTCTTGCAACAGGTTTGCCTAAAATGAAATTTCCCCTCCATGCAAAACTTATGGATCTCAGGTTCCTTTCATTTCTCTCCTTCCCTCTTCTTCCTTCCTTCCTTCTCTTCCTTTCTCCCTCCTCTCTGTTTTCCCCTCCTTCCTTCCTTCTTTCTTACTTCCCACTCTGTCCTTCTTTTCTCCCTTGCCCATTCTCCTTTTCTTCCTTCCTTCTGTATCCTTGTCTGTCCTCCTTTCCTCCCTCCCTCC